ATAATTATAAAATATTAATTTATAATAAATATAATATAACTTTTTTAAAAATAAAATTAAAATATAAAGCCTTTTAAAGTTTATTTATTTTATTAATTATTTTTATATTTTATTTTTTTTTTATTTTAAAAATTAATAATTTTAATATATATTTTAAATATATTAATAATATATTAATTTTTATAATTAAAATTAATATTAAAAAAATAATTAAAAAGTTTTAATAAAAATTTTAAAATATTTTAAAATAAAAATAATTAAATATAATATTTTTTAATTTAAATAAAATAAAGTTTATTTACTGTTATTATATTAAAAAGTAAATATATAAAAAAAATATAAATTTTAAAAAAAAAATTATTATATTATAAAATTTAATTAAATAATTAAAGGTTTATTTTAACTTTAAATTTTTTTTTAAAAAATATATAAAAATAATAATTAAAAAAGCTTTTAAAGTAATAAGTTTTTTAAAATTATTTAATAAAATATAAAAAAGTTTTTTTTTTAATATAATAATATTTATAATTAAAGTTTATATTATTTTAGTAATTTTATATAATATAAAGGTTTAATAATTTAAAAATAAAAAATAAAATATATTTTACTTTTTTAAATAAATAATTATTAATATTTTTAATTTAATAAAAAAAATAAATAAAACTTTTAAAATAATAATTAAAGTAATTTTTTTAATTTAAAAAATAATTAATATAATAATTATATATAAAAAATTTAAAGTTTTATTAATATTTATAATATTTACTTAAATAAAACTTTAAATTTTAATAAAGTTTATTAATTTAAATAAAAATTATTTTATTAATAAATATATTAATAAAAAACTTTTATTTAAAATTTTTATAATTAAACTTTAATAAATAATTTTTTTAATTAATAAAATAATTAAATTTTTTTTTTATTAAAAATAATAAAATAATTTTAATAAAATTAAACTTTTATAATTTACTTAAAATTAAAATAATAAAAAAATACTTAAAATTATTTAATAATTTTCTTTAAATTATATTTTTAATATATTTAAATAAATTATAAAATAAAATAAAAAATATAAAATAAAATATTATTATATATTATAATTATAAATTTATTTTATTTTATAATTATTTAATAAATATTAAAATATATAATATAAAAATAATTAAAGTTTTTAAAATAATAAAATTTATTAAAATATAAATTATATTAAACTTAAATATTAAAAAAATATTTTTTTTTTTTTAAATAATTTTATAATAATAAATAAAATTTTAAAAATTATATTAATATTATTATAAAATATATATATAAATTTAAAAAAAATAATTAAAAAATTATAATTATATATTATTATTAAAATAATATAAATTTTTAAATATAAAAATATATTAAATAATAAAAAAATAAATAAATTAATTAAAAAAAGTTTAAAATTTTTAAAATATATAAATAATTATATTATAATTATTTATATTAAAAAATAAATAAAAAAAAAATAAAAATTAATATTAAAAACTTATTAAAATAATAATTTTTTATTATATTATAAATATTAATAATTTAATATTTTTATAATATTATTTAAGCTTTATTTTTTATATTTTATTTTTTATAAATTTTTAATTAAAAAATTTAAATATAATAATTTTATAAAATATTATAAAAAGTTTAATTATAATATAAAATTTATTTATAAGTATAATAAACTTAAAATTTAAAAATATTTTATAAAATATTAAATAATTATATTTTTTTTTTTAAATATTTTAAAAAAAAACCTTTTATTTAAAGCTATATATTTTATATATTTTTTAAATTATAAAAGCTATAAAAAGTTTTAAAAATTAATAAAAAAAATAAATTTATGTAGCTTTTTTTTTATAAATATAAATTAATATTTCCTTTTTATTTTTTTTATTAAATTAAAATATAGTAAATATAAGATTTAAATAACTATAGCTTTTATTATCTTAATACCTAAATAAAGACTTATATAACTAATTTACTTAATGGACGTTAATAATAAAATAAATAAATAAAACAAATAACATCCTATAAGAAACAATCGTGGACGGACAGCCTAATAGGGTATGGAATTAGACGGGGCCGTCGAACAAGCTATTGCTTGAAAAGTCGGGATAATAGAGGAATTTCAGTGAAAAGTCTTCAAGTAACCGATCATACAGAGCTTAGAGGTAATGGGAACACTACAAAATACAGTTCATCGTGAGGAATATGTCAAGGTCGTCAGTTGGGTTAGTCTAGGGTGTGAAGTCACTAAGTTGAAGATGTGCGTGATTTCCCGCATGTAGAAAGCCCGAATCTGTGAACATTGGGGACCGAACAGATTCAAAATTTGCGATAGCATTTCCAATAAAGAAAAAACTGGCATCTTCTATGCTAACAAGAGAGAGAAGACGTGTATGAACATTTGTAACTAATAAGTTAGAAGGAGTAACCACAGTCTAAGCTTTCCGATTGACGCAACAGGATAGTGACTATCCGACTATAGTGGTGTCTGAACGTCTTTACCCTTCGCCTCAATCTTAGCTCCCTTCTTAGGCTGCGGCGTCACTATAGCTTCATGTTTTTCTCGGCGGCTTTATAATCGCGGCGTCTAACCATACTTATGGTGATAGGTCAAACAGAATATTCATTGCCGAATGTATATGTGCTAAATAGGGTAGTAGAATAAAAGTAGTGTCGAAAAGACATTTAGTATTAGTTGCAATCTAACCAGGGCAACTGGATCATGAAAAGGTGTGCAAAATTAAGAGCCCTGAACCTCTGTATAATATGACATCTACTCCAATATGAAGGATTCCAATAGATTATTATTGTGCCTAATAAAACTATTAGGTTTGCAATTGGACATGTCAAATTGTCTGATCAGATATTGTGCTGATGCTTTTATGGGTAAACTTTTGAATAATAAGCATTTCTGCTGTTCTTTAAGTCTGAAATGTGCAATTTATTTATTCAAGCTTATTTCGGCACTGTTACAATCGCACTCTGCCCTGTAGCACTATTGTAAATGCTCTTGCTCAAGATTTTCAACCCAGCCTTGTCAAGCAAACTATTCCACTGCTTTTCAGTTCTCTCAGTTGAAGCAAAGCTAACCATCATAGTCATGTCGATTTCTGTCGAACGCGAATGTGCGCCCTTATCAGGAATAATAATCTCATCAATAATAAGTACCGATTCTGCAGACATCGCAGGGAGAGTATTTTGGATAATAGTGATGCATTTTTCATCTGGATAATCATGTAGAATATTCCGCAGGTAATATACCTTGGCACCTAGGTTCATATTTAGCACACGCGCCGAGAGCGTACGAGTTCAATAAAGGTACCTTGAAGTGGCTGCTCAGTCCATATATCATAACTTTGTTTCTCCACCCCTTCGACTGGAATAGCTTGTGGGATGACGAAAGGTTGGTCTTGCAACACAACACGGCCCGGTAATTTAGCGTGTACGTTCTTGAAGACGGCGCACTGCTGGCCAATGCCACCACCAATGTCGACAAAGAGAATGGTATCCTTAGAAGTGTTTGGAGCATGTTTCACAAAATCGAACACATCTAGCCAAGTTTTGCTGCCGTCATGAAGCTCAGACATCCACAAATTAAAGTCATCCATAATTCTTGGCTGCCTCATGGCCCATGCAAATGCTGGCTCTTTGGTTTTGTGGGCAGATTGGAAAGGACTATTCACCAAGTCATCTGGGTTAATATATTTCGTATCAGCTAGAAACTGAGGCGCAGCCAAAAGACATGGCATGATGGCCATGAAGCTATCGATTCATTGATTAGCAAGTGATGAAGCGTTCTAAACGAGAGATTTCACCCACGAGTGTGCGATTCCAGCCTCAAAGCCTGGGCGAGCCAGGGTGTGAGTGATTGTATTAGCAGTAAAGGTGTTTTCTTCAGTCTCCATAATAAGATCATGGGAGGCCAAGAAGCGAAGAACTCGACCTTGAGTTTCCAATTAGTATGTGGTAGAATATATTTAGCTCTACTAAAAGCCATGAGAATTAACATACTAAGTAGCAATGAATCAGCTTTCGAAGATTGAGCAAGTGCGGCGACCGTGACTGGGCCCTTAGAATTGGCAAGTATTTTGAAAATTCCAAGCTCACAAGCTATGTGGGAGAAAGTGAGTATCATGGGCTGCCGAAGAACCAATTAGTATGACCAATTTCTGAGAGGAGCGCTACAAGCCTGCGGGCTCACCGAATTGTTCACCCGGTAGATGGTATCAAAAGGATCCTCAACAATATTTAGTAACTTCTTAGCAGCATCATAGAGGGCACGCCGTTCCCCAGCATCGACAGGCGGAGAATTGGCGACGACTTCAATCTGTGCAGCAAGGCTTGACATTGTGGGCTGTAGATGCTACTGGCTTTATGGGGGCTTGGATGTTGAACTTATGCGATCAGTGAAATGTAAATGGGGGAGCGATAGTCCTTAAATAATAAATGAAATAGAGGTCCAGAGACAGTCGTAATCTAGAGTAGTGTTATAATGGAATAGTGATATTATTGGAACACAAAATGTGATTTCCTGGGCAATCTATGGTAGCGATATTGGTGCTAGCAGTACTAGCTGCAGTGATGCATACTAGCAGCGAACCTATTCTACTGCGCCACTTCCTTCGAAGTGGTATATTAAGACTATTGCGGTTGCTAAATCTCTAATACTCCTTCAGGATTGTCGAGGCTGTCGTGAATTCCAATTAAATCCCTGTGAGATGACACAAATGAAAGAGCTTGACATGAATCATGAACAATCTGAGCAGCATCTTTCAGACAAGAGATTAGTAAGTTATTGGCGCAAGCTTAGTTCCTTTGGTCAGCGAGTCTGGAGCTTCTTACAAAAATAAGCTAATACAAAACCACAAATACCAGTCAATATAGGTAGAATGGGTAGCGCGTAATACTACGCAAGGTATACATAAGTATTAGTAAGACAATTATCGAAATATCTAGTGCCTCTTGCAGAAATCGCCAAAGTAGTCGGGCAAACAATTGCCACATGCGCTGCAAGGTAGACCAGCTCTCTTTGCGAAAGATGGGGCAAAGAACATATGCATATTGAATAACCATATTAAATGCCGAAGATGGCGACCTACTACGAAGCACAACCATAGAATTCAGCACAGTGTGGGGGGTAGAGCCATCTCTTTATGCAAGATCTTTCGACAACTGCCCTTGTCAGAGATACAGACCCTCTCATTCCTTACAAATAGCTAGTTAATGCGAGTGTTTATAAAGAGTACAGGCAAAATAAGCCATGTGTCATAGGTCTATAAATTGAATCAAAGGCTAACAATATTAATGCAAGATTCCAGGCCCAGAGCCAAGACTGTGAATGCCACGGCTTGTGTGGTGGCGACACGGCATCTTCATTCATCTACCTTACTTGCTTACTCTCACAGACCCGGCCGGCCATTTTCGTTACTAGTAGTATATGGACCCTACGATTACACATATATTACATAACAAGCTAAAATAAAACATTTGTAATTATGAAGTGTTTGCTTCGATCTTTTGCTTGATAATGGGTTCACGGCTATGCTGCCAATCCGCAGCTATGAGAAATGATGACACTGGCATACCCAGTACTTGAATCTTGCCTGCGTACATAGTATTCGCCAACAGAATGTTTTTCAAGGAAAGTATTGCAGATGACTAAGCGATAAGTCATTCCCAAATTATAGATAGGTTTCCTACACTTCCCTTTGTTCCTTCAAGAGACCTACATGTATCATCTAACAGGTTAGAGGACAAAAAATTATTGCTTACAATCATGATGACGAGGCCTCCGATTTCTTTAATCTCAAAAAGCTGCTGGTTTTAGGAATTCCGGTTAAGCGAATCCCGTGCTGTGGCGCGCAGAGGTTTTACCTCATTTGGCAGATCTTGAAAATTAGGGATAATTGACCCTTGCACTCATCCGTGTTGTAGGTTATGGTAGTGTTCCGTACTGAGTTCAGAGTGATAGAACATGAAATGCGAGAATATGAGAACAGCTTCGATTTGGATCGATTCTATTCTAATGGACTGATCTACAAAGTAAATACCTTCTTCTGTGCCTTTATTTGGAGGGTTAGATATTTCTCAGGTAGATTCCCTATGTATATATCAAATTGAGAAACAGCATGTAACACAATCATCAAAATTATCGTGCTACTTTCCAAGTTAATTACAGATTACAGATGATAGGAATTGAGGTATCTTTGAAAAAAAAAACCGATAGGCGTTTACTTCGTATTAACGCATCTGTGTGGAGACAGATTAACTGCGCCTCTAACCATTGTCAGCCATTCTTTCTACTTTAAGGAAAAGGTAAAGCAGGATTGGACACAATACCCTGCATTTAGTAGTAGTATCATAGTCAGGGGATCTGCTGTCATATATTGTCCTTACATAGTGGAAACGCGCAAAACCGTATTCCGGGTGCCTTGAACATTCTGCAAGGCGACACGCAACATCGTTTTGCTCCGAATCCCGACGTGTTCTATAGCGCTTGGGCGTTATCTCTAGATGACGCGCGTTTCAACATTAAAAAGTTTAAGAGCACAGCCTTTGTGGAAAGGGGGAAGAGCGTTCCGTTGCACCATATTTAACACTCTGTGAACAATATGACTGCCTTTTATCGTTCCAAATCATATTGTGCACCAGCATTCACCTAACCCTTTTTAATTCTTCGCCGTTCTTAAATCTTCTTCTATTATCAATTTTGCTAGTTCTTTCACCGATATCTTAAAAAATGAGTTCGGGTGATAATTGCATTGCTGATTGGCAACATACATCCTTTTCCTATTATAAATACGTCCCATCCCTTGCTGCTGCAGGGATTTTCAGCGCTCTATTTTGTTTATCATTAGCTGGCCACTCCTTTCAGATGGTCAGAGCAAAGGCATGGTTTTTAACGCCAATGGTCGTGGGCTGTTTATGTACGTGGCCTAGGAGACGTGATATTGTTGGAGGCAGCATCACATAGCTAACCGCCTGTAATAGTTGAGTTTATTGGCTTCATTGGCAGAGCTGTTTCGGCACATCAGAAACCAGGATGTTGGACCGAGGCTCCATATCTTGTACAGACATTGTTCATATTACTTGCTCCGGCACTCTTTGCAGCATCGGTGTATATGTCCCTCGGACGGATTATCGAGCTCGTGGATGGAGAAAAACATGCGATTATAAAGCGGAGATGGCTTACAAAGATATTTGTTTGCGGTGATGTCGTCTGCTTTCTTCTTCTTGCTGGTGGTAGGTTAGGAATTCGAGTCGTGTTTCACATCATTTGCCACACATAGCTGACAGCAGTGTAGGAGGTGGCATGTTGGCCTCCGCGAAGACCAACAAGGCAGAATTTGATGCGGGTAACAACATTATAATCGGCGGCCTAGTGCTTCAGCTTCTTTGGTTCGGATTCTTTGTTGTCATAGCCCTTGTATTCCACCGTCGAATGATACTGGCGCCAACAGCACGAAGTCATCAGGCGGATATAAATTGGAGCAGCTATCTCCACGCACTCTATGTTGCAAGTGCGCTCATTATTACTCGAAATATATTCCGTCTCATTGAGTACTGTCAAGGCAGTAATGGGTACTTGCTGACCACAGAAGTCTTCGTCTACTGTCTGGATGCACTGCCAATGTTCTTGGTTGTTGCCTGGTTCCATTGGAAATACCCTGGCGATATGAGTCCCCTACTCGAAAAGAAAGCTCTTTACAACGATTCAATGCAAGAAATTGAAATTTGATAATTTTTAAGAGTAACAGCAGATACTTTACGAATCCGAGAATTTGAGGTGTTCATATTATATCTTGCCTTTTTCCAATCGTCTAGTCGAACTTCTTTACGTTGTCATCGGTTTATGCCTTAACCCTATCCTTCAACAATCTCTATATACTGCTTGAAAGACTATCAACTTACTTCAAACTCTCAATACTAGCGCGTTTGTATTCTTGATATTTAGCTTGGTAGGCAGTTATGATTGTCATACAAATTGGCAACATGCAAAACTGAGCTAATTCTCATCTTCCGTATGGTGACATCTCTGCTATGCCCCCCTGCAGGATATGTGTACAAGCATATAGACAATGATTACTGGATTATTGAGGTACCGCGTAACTATATAGCAATGTGAAAATCATATCTAACACAGTATCACATAAAATGGGGAACCTTTCACTAGAGACGAAGCACCAGAGCACCGGAGAACTGAAGGACTGAAGTAACTATAAACCTATGCTTGATTCTGCGTACTAACTTTTACAATCTACCAGAAGGGAGATTTGATTATCAAGGGCTAATGTCTTGCAGCACCGTGGCTGTGTTTGCCTAAAAGTTTTCCAATTGGGTAAATGTCTGAGGGTAAAGCCTCGACAAAACAATGGCTTACTGCCGTACAAATTGGTGTTGCAGTATGCAACCATTCTAAACCCTCCCGCATCTTGTCAAGAGAGTACGGTCCTGAATCGTCTGCTCTACTGCAAAAAAATCATCTCATCCTTGCCATTAACCATACTATGGTTTGCGGAGATGACCTTTTACAGAATCACGGGATAATCTTTCAAAAGGAGTTTAAAGAGTGAGGTAAGAAAAGGACACACAACATATTGTACAGCAAGGTATACTGACAACTTTAATGAAGACTTCCCACCAAAATCTACGTTCACCCTAGGTGTCCCCATTTTTCGGCAGAATCCCATACAATTTAGTTATAACTAGTGACGTTGATTCAAATTTCATACGCATCTATAATAACTGGTGAGGTGTCAAGAACTGGTCAATTTCACTAGACCATTATTTGACTTTGATAAGGTGCGATACACTACCTGACGTACCTATCTAGGTAAAATGGGCAACAACTACCCAGAACTACGCCAGGCCTAGCCGGGCAACAATGTACGGCTGCCCGTAGGGCGTTCGTGTCGCGAAGAAGCCAATGACCCTGAGAAATTTTCGACGACAATACATAGCTGCAATCGCTACGCGAGGTAGTGGTGAAGGTGAAAGCAATTACCTGTAGGCACCTGCCGCAACCATCTGCTACCAAAATTATCTTACAGCTTCACCACTTCTATATTCTTGTTGCAGTGCACTGTGAGTCTCATTGGCCAATGGCGCACTGTAGGCCTTTAGAACCAGCGCAGCAGGTTGCTCTTTCCCACCCGTGGACACTTGTCACGTCGATCATTTAGTAGCAAGCAGTTTATATTATAATTCATGACATTGTAAGCTCTGATTTTCAATGCTAGTATTTTCATATGATCACACCACTCGCCTCGCGATATTCCCTCTCGGCGTTTACGCTCTACTGAATGTCATGTCGGATAAGGTATTACGTTCCAATTCGTCATAGGGTGGTATTAGATTCCCCCCCTGAAAGGTTCCCACGTTTTTTTCTTGAACTTACTTATGAGATGGAGTCAACTGTTCATGTCTGAGACAACGATGATTTAATAGAAACTTTTCAATCGTTAGAAATATGATAGCTCTATGGGGGCTTCAATGTGCCCGTTAGTATAATTGAGTATTAATGCACCATGAAACAAATTTAAATCTTCACACTCCATTCTATATCCTCCCACTCCGTACGCCGCCTTATCCGGACATTATCTAACCCAAGTGGCTTCTTTGCTCCTACATTTAATGCATAATTCTGCGTCACAAATCCGCGTTCTGCTTCAAAATCCAGAGCCATTATAACTAATGCGCCAGAAGCAAGAATCTCCATCTTAGCAAGATGGCGACCAGGACACAAGTGAGCACCACCACCGTATGGTACGAATCCCTGAGTCTTCACCTTTCCTTTACCATCTGTAGCAATACCGCCAGGCAGGAACTTTTCTGGTCCAAAAGATACGGCGTCACCGCCCCAAAACGTATCCCGGTTGTGAAGGAGGAATGTGGGTATGGACACCCTCCAACCTTTCTTGAATAAAATTTCACGTCCAGTGTCCGGGTCTGTGAGCACCACGTCTTCGAGGACCGCTCGATTACACGTCGGTGTGGAACCAATACGGAGAGCCTCCTGGTAGCAAGCGTGAAGTAATGGGCACTCAGTCTCAGCACTCCCAATATTGAGCTCTGCTTGGCGGCCGTGGGGAGTTTCTTTGATAATCAAGACAGTTTCAAGCTCTTTACGTAGGGCTTGCAACAGATTCGAGTTTGCAAGGATGTTTTGTATCATGGCAACGGCCGTGGGCACGGTGTTAACCGTAGCAACGGAGACATTGAACACTTCGATACGAGAGTAGTCCTCGATACTAACATCCATCTTACGGGCTGTAGCGATACCAAGCTTTACAGCAGAACTAGCAAAATAGTCATCTCCACTTTGAACGAATTTTTGAAACGCCTGGGAGATTTTGCCGAGGGTACGGACGCCGGTGGGTGCGATGAGATTGGGAAGGACGCCCCAGCTGAGTCGTAGTTGGTTCTCATCAAATGTCCTATAATTGAATGTTTATGAGACATAGAAACACTGAGTAGACTCTGAGATGTCTTACCAGATATCTTGAATAATGCTTTTGTCAAGAGCCGCTGGGCTTTTTAGTCCATACAGCCCATTGACTGTGCCTAGTGTAATGACATCCCGTAGCCACAGGTATAAGTCTCTTGCAGTCCAGTCAGTGCCAAATGCGTTGACAGCTTCGGCAACTACATCTGAGAAGATTTGGCCTGGAAAGTTAACATCGGGGCCAGGGGCGAGCGCGTGACTGAACTCCTCACGCCGTTCTCTCAAAGCTGGGGAGCCAGTGTAAAAGCCCGTGTGGTCAATTCCAAAATGGTGGCCTGAATCTTTGCTTAGACCAAGCATTTTGGGGGCTACATATGCGATTAGGGGATCCATTGACATTGATTTGGACTTTAGAGCGGCGTGGGATAATCCCGGCGTTGTTACGACGTAAGTCTTGTGACCCATTACACTGAGTGTGTATGCGGGCCAGGATGTATGATGCCTTGCTGGATTAGTATACGGGAAAATCATGAAAAATGCTAATCATTCTCACCTCATACGATCCATATAACTGACCCCATGTCTATAAAACCCTACAAAATGGCCAATCAGTGGTAAAGACGGCTTCACAATAGGTGGCTCTTTGGGATCGTGCCCAGAAACATCAAAGTAGTGCCAAACAGCTAGAAGAACACACAAACTGAGACAAACATATACAGATGAGTGCCCAGTTACCCTTTCGTTGAGTTTGTCGAAGGTGAGGGAAGAAGGGCTTGCGTGGATACCCATTGTTGGTAGTTGTAAATCCTACCTATCTGTGCATATATAGAGTGCTATATGTCTCACACTAAATGCGACCTCCGGCCGGAGTATGAAGGCGAATCATGACTCCATTATGTATTCTTCTTTTCTAGCAGATATAAGATGTAGGCAGCATGAACACACGCAAGCTAAGCTCTTAGGGCCATTCATCACATCCTAGATCTTCGCGTGCGGAAAACTACCCTATAGACTCCACTACTTATCAAAAGTCTTACGATAGCTTAGAAGAGTTTGTTTTAGGACTGATTTGACGTGGGACTGCCACTGATATGTTACTGCATCTAGTAATTGGCAACGGGCGCGTGATTTTACGTCCACGAATCACCAGCAGCTTTCACTTGAGCTGATTAATGAAAGCATAATGTATAAGTAGTGGACAAGCCCTAAAAATAGGCCATAGCACTATTGTTGTTGATAGCATTAACTGAATTAAGTGGTTCAAAACAAGTACGTCTCTTCTATCCTCTAATCGGTTAGTGATGATCGGCAGGATCTTTTGATTCACAGTTTGTACGGGATGAAACAGGGAAGCGCAGGGATACATGAACGCTGGATAGCGCAGACTGCTAGTGTTAACTCAACCAAATTAAGCACGCTCGGCTACAGCAATAATTGTGGATGATTTTGGGTCTGTGCCTAGTGCCAGTGGCGAGCCGCCACCGCCCATAAGCAGGCAAACACCTACTATACCAGCAAAACGGGCCAAGTAGTTGGGCATCACGGACCACATCGTGACCCAATCCAACAGGATACTCCGATCTATCGGATATTTCAGGGACATTTGCCCCGAAGTATGATATCTAGCTACTGGTAGTCGTATCTTAGGAACTGTACGAATACGGCTGTCATCATGCCCTGGAGGTTGATTTACTATGCACACCCCGTCAGCATCAATTTCAGCTCAACCAACATGTAATTTCTAGCCCGCCATGAGTCCGAGGTTTAATGGTATAGTTGAAAATATACTGGGTCCATTGGAGTTCACGCTCGTGGCAGAGTCCGCTTCGTGCATGTAACCCAGATCCTGGAAGTTGTGTGCTAGAGTCACCACGCGTGATAGTGTTTTGAGTTATCCATACTTTACACTCGTTAAACCCTCTCACCTTCTACGTATTTACTTCGTACTCACATACTACTTCGTTGATACTACGTACTCCGTACTGTTGATCTTGACAAAGATGGACGTCCAGTCGTTGTTTGCACTCGCCATCGCAGCCGCCGTCATCTCGTATCTTAAGCTCTCTGGTGCCTCTTATACGATAATTCTGCTTGGTCTTCTAGTATCTGCCATAACGCAGCTAGCAATATCTTTGACATTTTCAAGTTTAGTATACCGATGGTTCTTATCGCCAACGAAGAGTCTTCCCCATCCCAAGGTATGAATGAGGGTCAGTATGCAGCTTTGGCTGTGAATTACGGCTCACCTTTGCTAGGATACGCCTTTCATCTTGGGAAACTTGATTCCTTTTCTGAGCGAACCATGGGGATTTCCGTTGGTCCGCTGGCAGCGCACGGTAGCAACTAGTATCAGTGGTTTTTATCGTGTCTTTCTGGGCCCTTATGACTATCTGATTCCCAAGACTTCGCAAGCAGTAATGGCAGTTATGACTCAACCATATCTTTTTCATAAACCTGCTGCGGTTAGAAGCGGACTTGTTGAGAGCTTAGGGGTTGGCCTCGTGGCTGCTGAAGGTTCCGTTTATAAGGTACGTGCGTATTCTCCAACATCAACTTGCCTACCTCCATAAATCTCAACATTAGCTCTAACTGTTCACGAAGCGACAAAAGAAACTTCTTACTCCTATATTTGGTATGAGCCGCAACAGGCGTCTTGTCCCTCAGATGTGGACGAAGGCCATAATCCTGGCTGATAAAGTCCAAGAGCATATTAGCCAAACTGAATCCAAGTCAGATGTACTTTATATGCATCCTCTAACTATGGCAGCCACCCTAGATGTCATTGGCGTAACCACTTTGGGTGTTGATTTCGACTCTGTGACACGACCAGACCAACCCATCTTGCAAGCCTATCAGCGCGTCTTTCCATCCTTTGAGAACCAAACTACAATAGAGAAGTTCTTTGGTGCAACTCTTCCCGCAATAATATCGCCTCATCTACTGTTCAAACTGCCCTTGAAACCAATCCAAGAGTTTCATCAGGGAATGGCCTTCTTAAAAAACTTCTGTTCGTCCCAAATTCGGCAGAAACGAGAAGAGATTGAGAACGATAAAAATGGTAACATAGACATACGAGAAAAAGGTACGTCCAATTTCAGCTAACCACCTACACTCTCGCATTCAATATTCATTATTTGACATAGATATTCTCTCTGCTCTTATTGCTTCTGGACTTGAAGACGAAAGTGAGATTCTCAGTCACATCTTGACAATTCTGGCGGCCGGACATGAATCTACAGCCATAACGTTAGCATGGGCTATCTTTAAACTCGCACAACATCCCGGTGTCCAAGATAAGCTGCGGGTCGAAGTACTAGTAGCAACCAAAAATATGAAACGAGAAGGGCTGACACTTGATGAGATTAACTCTTTGACATACCTTCGATGTTTTCTGATGGAGGTTTTTAGACTTTACCCTGCATTTCCAGCCATGATGAGGGAGGCGAGCCAGGGAACTACAGTGGGTGATCTCAAGATTCCCAAGGGAAAACAAATTATGGTAAGCCCATACGCTGTCAACCGATCACAGGAGCTGTGGGGAGATGATGCCGACGAGTTCAGGGTCGAGCGCTGGGAGGAGTCATATAGTGGTGGAGCCAAGACTTCACAGGCCTTCTTGACCTTTTCCAGCGGTCCACGCATTTGCATTGGCAAAGATTTTGCCACCTTGAGCCTTAAAGTATTTTTGACAGTTTTGGTATCAAAGTTCCGATTTGAAGAGGCAATTCCCGGTTGGCACCCCGCGATACAGAAAGGAACCAGCCTTAAACCTCAGGGGCTAAAGGTCAAAGTGACACAATTATAATGGATACATTCTACTACATCACATATCTTATTAATAATATTTGGTTACAGTTGAATAACAGAGCAACTTGAAGTTCAATCTTACATTTTTAAATTTAATCACAAGTGAGCGTCTCTCCCACCGTTTGAGCATAACGCTATGCACGAAGACTGTACGGAGCGGAATAATGTTCTCATTTCTAAATTCGCTCCGTCATCGGGCTTGTCTTCGGGATTAACCCAACATAGGTGCCAGATGCATTCAACAAAGTAATGGACCACTTTTCCTCCCAAGGCTCATCACTCCGTCTCTCTATCCGTTCGTATTCTTGCAATATTCGGCTCAATATGTAAATCATCTCTGCATACCCGTATGTCTGACCCATACACACTTTCGGGCCTGCACTAAATGGCAGAAACTCCCAGCGTGTACTCAGGTCATCCCACCGCTCTGGACGGAATTCTTGCGCATCATGTCCATATACATCTTCTCGACGATGGAGGCTGAATGTGGAGCAACTTATCACAGTCCCTTTGGGAACAAGAACGGGTGATTTACCATCCCGACCACCACCACGTGGAAGCGTAGTGGTGCAGTTCGCGGCGCGGAAGAGTCCTGGCACTGGGGGATATAACCTCATGGCTGTAATATCGCCGTATTAGTCATTCAGTACATCAACCAAGGCAGTAAATTGATCATGATTATACTCACTCTCATCAATAACCTGACGGAGGTACTTTAAACCCTTGATATCTTCATATGTCGGTTTTCGCTCCTGAAGACATCCTACCTCGGTTTGGAGCTTTTTCCAAATATCTGGTCTCTGCGCTAAAACAAAAAATAAGTTGCTCATTACGCTAGCTGCTGTATCCCGTCCCGCGAGAAGCAAGCCCAATACCTCAAACCTAATTTTTATGAGGTCTTCCGTACTATCAAGAATATTATCTAAGAATGAGTTGCCCTGCTCGAGAATCTTTCGTATTTTCCGTCTTATATAAGCTTTTTCGATAATTTCGTCGACAAAGTCATGTAAGATCTTGCATGTGGCATTCATCTCAGTGTCTCGATAGAAACGAAGCAAAGGACCGAGTGCGGCACGCCGATTGACCAAGTTGCCAACATTGTCAAATGCTTTGATAACGTTGTACAGGTGGGATCCTGGTTGGCAATTCAAAGTAGACACTTTTTCATTGAGAAGAAGCTCAATAACGTTGTCAAACGTCAGTCGGAAGAATAACTGCTGTAGATCTACTGTGGATCCGTCATTTGGGAGGCATGTAAATAAATTTTGTATGTGACCTTCCAACTTGCTGAGATTCCCTACTTGGTCTTTGCCAAGATGTGGGCGAACTAGTGACTATCAAGAAATATGTTAGCTACAAAAGGTCGTCTGAGTGCCAATGAGGATTGCTTCACACCCTTGAATGTTTCCACAGAGCTCCATCTGTAGTCAACATACTATCTCCTATGAAAGGCCCAAAAAGACTCTTCTTGCCACTGTCAAAGTCATTGAATTGGGTTGATAGCAACGCTTTCACATTTTCTGGATCAATAGTAGAGATGAACAATTGACCCATGACAACTCCTGAGAAGGTGTCCCCAAATAGCCGAAAACGATTCTGCGCCTCTTGCAAAGACCGGCCCTCCCGAGCCAGAGTGACTTCTTGCAGGTACAGATGATACCCAATAAGCCTTTCTCTCTGTGGTATACGCCGGCAAGGTTGGCACGCATTTTTGTCAGCAAATTTACGCTGCTCAAACGACGCGATAAGTCTCTTGACGACCCAATAAGCCAATCCCAAGAGAATCAAATAATAATAATGCATGATGTTATAAGGTGTTGCGGCAAATTTTTTGGAACAGGAATTATCGAGAGAGTATCAGTCAGAGTGAACGTATGAAGCGTGTGCCCGTATTACCTCACGAACGTGCTCCGCTTTGATCCAGGTCCTGGAAACCCAACAGCTTACTCTCGACAGCCAACAACCATGTACTATTCGCCCCACGCAAAAGATGCATGAGACTTAACCGATTCCTCACCCCCCCCTTCAAGAATTTAGCCTAGTGGGACAGTGGAACAGCCAAAGTCCATTCGCATCAGTCCACTTATCCCACCGCGGCGCGTAATAGTGTAGAAACAGTGGACTGTCAGCGGAAGGCCTAGATAGCCTCTAACAATGCGCGCGAAAGTTGCTTATTGTGCACCAAAACAGTCCCAGTGCACAAAATTACATTCAATGTGCCTCCATGTTTTGTTATCTCGGTGGCCCACAAGCCTGAATGGTAGGGCGGAGCTATCCATTGTATTTTTGGTAACATTCCTCAAAACATGAGACGAATCAAGTCTCTCAGTGGAGAATCCCATATTTTGATGCTCTGGTTTTCCTTTTTTCAGCTATGAGCGTACCACTCTGATGCATCGGATCTCTTTCAGCTTATACCCCTTCATATCCTTTCGTGAAAACTGCAACATTATCTCCATTTTCTCTTTAATTGATTCAAGAGGTATTGGATATATTCATCATGGGCACTTTTCCTCCACCACCGGCAGGCATCGACCCAAAGACCTGGAACGCAATCCTTCATATCCGCACCGGCTGTTTCCCAACTCTTCTACCCCAGATCAAGAACGATTATGGATATTGGCCAAGTCTTGGGGCAGGCATCGCTTTCGCTGTTCTTTTTGGGTTGGCTTTAATCGGTCATGCTATCCAAGCCATCCGGTTTAGACGCTGGACGTCTATTCTCTTTGCTATTGGAGCTCTTAGTACATTTTTCATACTCCCCTATCTGCCATTTTATCAAAAATAGTCATGGCTAACTAGTCAACTTACCTTTACAGCCGAAGCGATAGGGTGGGCTGGTCGGACCTGGAACGCCAAGTGCCCCTATAATCACGACGCATTTTTGATGCAAATCACCACTCTCATTATTGCACCAACCTTTTTTGCGGCCGGTCTTTATGTCCTTCTCGGTATCTTAATACAAAAACTAGGCTCTCAAACAAGCAGTCTGTCACCCAGTCATTATGCCGTAATATTTTGCACGTGCGACATCATCTCTCTTGTCGTTCAAGCTGTTGGCGGGGCTTTGGCGGCCAAGGCTACCGTTGAAGTTAATGGCAACTCGGTGACTGGAACTCACATTATGGTTGCCGGGATCTCATTTCAATTGTTCACCATGACTGTCTTTGCTCTGCTCGTCGTTGACTTTCTGCGTCGGGCTAGCAACTTGGTGATGAAGAGACCCATAAAGCTCGTCCTGATAGCTCTATTCGTGGCATTTTTGATGATATACATGCGATCCATCTACCGTACAGTTGAATTGGCTGAGGGATGGACAGGGTTTTTGATTACGCACGAGGGTTACTTTATTGGACTCGATGCGACTCTGATGGTCATCGCAGTTATTGTCTTTCTAATATTTGATCCTGCCGTGCTACTGCGTCAGGACTCTGTTTCTTGGGAAGTGCGGGATAGAGAGGTTCAAGAGCAAAAGCATTTGCTTTCGTGGTTCTATGTTGGAAAATGAGTATAGTGGCAATTATTAATGTTATACCTCTGTTGCTAATTATATGCGCCTCTCGATAGACGTGCGATCATACTTTCTGTAAAAGGCACTGTGCTAATGACTTAACTGTATTTCCCAACCAGGCTGAGGGAGAACCAGCATTCGGGTTTTTGACCTATTCATCATACTGCTGAAAGAAAACATAATTTGTTTAACAGTTTATCCGGAACCTGTCTAGAAGTTGGGCCATATAAAATATCCAATGTATATATGTAAATATAAGTGCAGTCTACAATCGAAAAGTCATGCAATACCCGTCCATCGGCCATCATCATCATACATGTCTACCATGTGCAAGGACTCGAAACTGAGTCGACTAGAGAGTAAGTTCCCTTCTGGCCCACTGACGGAAGAGTAGTCGTTTCTTATGGAGCTGGGTTCTGTAGTGGGAACCAGGACTGACAGAGCGACATCCCTATGACCACCACTACAATCACTCTTCTCTTCATCGTCAGTTAAACTTCTGTTCAGCATGGGCCAAGGCAATACCAGTGCGAACAACAGAGCTAACCCGGCCCATATCAAAGATGGTATCAAACCTATTTTTATGGCCTTGCTGTAGGCATTGGTGACCGCAGTTTTTATGCTAGGAGATAAATGGCTGTTTATTCCGCTCCCTTCTTTGAGAGATGAAATTTCATCGGGTGTTAGCGAGAGGCCGACTAGGTTTCTAGTCAAGGTGGTTGTGAAAGCAACTGCTGATATTTGGACAGCTACAGCTCTACGAATTGATCAGCAATAAAACAGTGAATCAGTACACAAATAAAACAAACTACTCACGATCCAATCTGTTGCAACATACGCGAATATCCCAGCGAGGTGGCTAACTGGTGTTTGTCGAAAACGGCTCTTGGATATATGATTTCAGCTAGCCAAGCCATCCCCATCCCAAAGCCAGCCACTATCTCATAGCCAACAACCTGTGCAACTGAAAAATTGGATTCGAGGGTAATAAAAAGCACATTTGATACCAAAAAGATAACGTTTCCACCGATTGCCAGGGGATTAAAGTATGGGACTTTGGTAGATAAGATGGAGAAAGCGAACGTGCTTATGGCGAGTGTCCCTGCAAGAGGGAACGAAAGAAACCCACTGGTACGGGGATCAAGATCTTTGACAACCTGGAGATGCACAGCTATTAGTATCATACTTCATTAATATTAACGCCGATTAACGTACCTGAAAGAGAAAGGGAAGAAATAATATAATCACCGACACTGATGATAAGGCGCAGAAAAATATGCCTGTAGTAGTCCACACACTTCTGTTCAAGAGAATAGCGCGTTCGAATATGGCCTCCTTTGCCACTCTCTGCTGCAGCAATAACAACACAGAGGATACACCAAAAACAGCAAACATGACCGTACTTCGAGCGCTTTTCCACCCATAGGTTTGCCCGAAGTCGAGAGCCAATATCAGAGGCACGAGAGTCAAAGCTAGTAAACTTGTTCCAAGCCAGTCAAGTAATGCCAGCTTCTCCCAGATTTTCAAGCCATATTTTTCTCCTCTGAGGTCAGGCCCGCCTGTATACGTTACTCCAATCACCAAGAGTAGTACAAGACCTATTATGGGGAGGTTGATCCAAAAGAGCCAGTGCCACCCAAGATGGGATTGAGTGATGGCACCACCAATAATGGGTCCTATCACCACGCTGGATCCCAGAATGAGAGAAAAGGCACCCATTGATACATTTTGTTCCTTTTCCGCTGGCATCAAAGCCAGCATTCGAAAGCCGCCAACACTCAAACCTACAGCCCCCATTCCTGAGAGAGCTCGACCACAGATGAAAGATGGTGAGCTCTCAGATACAGCACAGACAATGGATCCAACTGTATCATGAATGTCAGTGTGCGGAACGAAAGATTATGAATTCAAGGAGATTTACGGATAAAAAGTAATACTGAGCTGAGGTACACCGAGCTGAATGAGCATATTGAGTACAGCCTGTTGCAAACTGGCTGCAGAACACATTGTGGAATAAGATATGCCGAAGTATAGGCACCCACATCGTACAGAGAGGAAAATTGAGCAACAATGGTGGGTAAAGCCGGTTCTTTGAGCTACAAATTAGTGGGGAGATTTCAAAGAACGATCGGAGGCCATTTACGTACCAATGATGGATTGATCGATACCAACCTGACGAATGAATCAATATAATTTGCCCATAGAGAGTTACAAGAGGGGTGATCTACCATAAAACCGGCAAGAGCAAGAGCGAAGGTGATGGTACTTTTCCTCCAAGGCGCGAGGGGAATATCCAAATCTTCTGTGGGCTCCCCTTTGTTGACAAGGTCTTTGAACGCCCATAGCCATCGTATGGAAAGCAGCTTTTGCCTACTATGTTTCATACCACCAAGCAATCGCGGGCCAAACTTGAGAGCATCATCGGAAGTCATCTCTACTGGGAGAAGCTAGTTCAGTCTCTTTGCCCGGGTTACCAATCTCGAACTCAACAGAATTTACAGCAATAGGGCAGGACAGAAAGAGGACTGGGGGGCACAGGGAATCCCGTCTCAAAAGAATGAATCTGATAATCGGTCGGGTGCGAAGGGCAATCTGAGACTAATACGCATGAACATCTCTAGTAAAATGGCTTAGTTGGCCAATGCAGCTGTAGCAATTAGGTATATGTCAGATCCCACCCAGCTCTGTTAAAACTAGCACCCTTCCAGAGCAACAGTATCGGCCAATTGGCAGTACACCGTCGTATCGGCCGGTGGAATAAGCTCATGCCAACGCTGCATGCGTTTTGCCACTCAACATGGCGACTGCTCAACAGCACGCTACGTCTGAGGCCGATGGCAATGGGGTGGCTCCCACTGTAATTGTTAACGGACTTCTAGCTGAATAACTGTGCTGACAGCAGCACTAACTCATATGCAATAAAGGGGGCTCGGAAGTGGCTTTCCCGAACTCCAATGGGCCATCAGAACCATCCGTCGAATTTTCTCACCGAACTACGGAGTAGTCCCAGGCTTTTCGATCTCGTTTAAGGGTGGCCAATGAAGCGCGAGCATCTAGACCCTGGCCCCTGAAAATCTTACTTCTGGCAACAGTACTCCGTAGTGTGCTGTGATACAGGTACTCCCTCGAGATAACATTCTTACCTCCAACAGAGGTATGCACAATGGTTGATCTGTAGCCTATTGATGTCAGTAGAGAAATGTTAGTGAGCCCCATACCATCGCGAGTTGCATCATTCCGGCCTCGCCGACGGTACGAGCTTTTGTTCGGAAAAAAATCAGCCTTCGCTTTCCTTTCAAGACTCCATTCTTCCCACTAGGTGGCTGCTAGTGCTGTCGCACTGCCAAGATTCGCTGGCCTTTGTGACTAATCTGTGCACCACCATAATATCAGGACTTCAATAGCTCATATCAGCGTGCTTCGTCATTCCTCAGAGCAAGTTAGATCTTACGGAATAATTTAGACAGTTTGACACTTCGCCTTCTTCACATACTAGTACATTTGCTCATAGCTCCACACACAGTTTTACGATACAGATTGGATAAGTAATTACTAAGAATTATGTAGGGTATGTGAAGTGTGATAAGTTGATTGAAATCATGATATCGGAGATGGATGAATACTGATTCTCAAATGACTTGTGTGATGCTAGTCGCACCGTACTCATTCCGTTCATAAGTCTTGGTGTTTCTGTGAATTTAATACATCGTAACGAACTTCTAAACCCTGATTCCAAATATTTGACGCGATGCCGGCCATTTTTCTCCCCAAATATTGGATATCACCTGTTCTCCAAATGGCCCCAAGCACAGTAACAAACCACGCTGCTGCCAGCAGTTGAATAGCTGCAAAGCGCCACTTTGGCAACCACCATGCGGCAGTTGCCACCGTTGCCATGTGTTGTTTGGTCTCATTCGACTCTTTTGGATCGTCGTATGTCGTGTTGCGGTACCACTCATCAAAATTATAGAACCACATTAACCATTTCCATTGCATGCCGCACTCGACCAGTACCCATCCAAGCGGGAGATAACCCCAATGTCCGAAGTAAGCAAAAACTTCTTCAAACCAGACAAGTAAATAGGTAGTGCAGTAAAATGTGCTGGCAATAGTAGACAAAGCTAACACTGGAAGAAGCAAGGTGAAATAGAAGTAAGCGTTGCTGGCACTGGATCGAAACCAGGTTTTTCTGAACTGGTATAGAAATACTAGCGTTGTTGTTGTGGCTCCGGAGATTGTGGCTCCAAAAAATACAAATTGGATTAATAGTCGACATAAGAGAGCATCTGAGGATGTAAAGGATGAGAAAGAAAGACGGATCCATAATAGTAAGGCTGGGCCCATCATATGGTGCAGTGTGGCAGCCTTATCATTCCTTGTAACGGTAAGATCAATGATATACGATCCAGTCAGAATAGCACTAGGAAACAAGCGTCAGTTATTATCTAAATAAGAATGCGCATGTGTTACATACCACGACAACAGTGAATTTGCTGTATCACTGGCTGTCCATGACTCTGTAGGAGAGAATCCATTTAGCATCACCGGCAGGGTGAGATAAAACAAGACGATTCGAGATGGTATGACGCCCACTTCAACTGCTAACCGGCTTTTGACCGCTTCATCTAGTTTAGGCCATTCTGATATAGTTTGCTCAAAGTACGTTCTGGCACTGGAGCGTACTATAGACGTAATAAGACCTACAACGCTGACAACAGCTAAGTCGTGAACCCAGGTTGTCGATATGGCCATTATTAAGGATATTGGGGACAAAAACAAAGTAGCGTGGAGGATAAATATATATATATATATTCAGGTCAAGAAGGTCAAGTACACTAAATTAAACCAGGAATTTCGATAGATCATATATAGAGGGGGACGGCACGCAGGCAGTTTCAAATATGCGTCTCTGATGTAAGATCTGGGTTAATATCGCGTTAATTACATCTAGGGTACTAGAGGAGAGAGATTCTATAAAAGTACATTCAGGCATATCCTTTTTTTTTCTTTTTTTGCGGTTAGTATTTCCAATTGGACTGCTTTGCCACAAATACCAAAAGCTGACACCCTTCCTCCTGATTATGCATCAGGTGAAACATTTCGGTGTTGTCCTTGCACGCCCTTGGTGATATCGTCATTCAACTTTTCCATTAATTCACTCAAAGCACAGGCCCAGACTAAGAGTACACGATGGGGGAAAATACAGGGGAAGCATATTCTAATAGAAAGAAAATCGCTCAAGCATCTATTGTTATGCATTTTGCTACACCTATTGTGGTTGGAATACCGCTTAGCCTACTACCTAGTTTAAGGGCAGCCAAAAACGCGATTGTTGCTCGCGATAATGTAAATTGAAGTTTAAGCGTTAGCTAATATCTATGTATAGTACATTTGTCTCAAATGTAAATACGAATATCTAGGTTTTGATATTATGTCGTGATGATTTTGTATCATCTTTTAAGATGTAAGCTGCAGCTTACTGAATCCACCAGATGCTCTAGGCCCTTTTTAGACAATGCACTATATACATATATATTGCATAGTTGCAATTTGATACATGACTTTTTTGTGGGTCTCTCGCTTTGCATCATGTTTCTTAAAATCTTATACGAGTACAGTTGTACTATATGCTTCTTGCAACAGAAATAGCCCGGTTGTTTTATGATCTCTCAGCATTTTATTCCGTATCCTGCCACTACTATAAATGGACCGTGACGAGCTATTTCACTAATACCCCCACCGTTTGTCTAAATAGCACGATCTAGCAGGTGAAGTTTTCCGCGATGGTGGAAAGCGCTCGTCCGCAATGCACCCACTGCGGTTCCTTATCGGCACCTACGTGCATAAGTTCAGTTCCTCGTTGCGATCAAAGCTGCCTATTATGATCTATTCAATTCGCCTAATTTTGCCATTACGGGTATTAGCCTCATAATAGAGATTTTTCATTAATGGCTTGAGGTATTCCCGATGCCTCAATAGATGGACAAATTTTATCTCCTGTTGAGACCCTCGTCTGGACCTTGAATTTTCTTTCAAGTTGTTTCGATTTACTTCTTTTGCTTCAATTGCTCCATCTGCTCTCATTTAAAATTTTCTTTTGCCCTTGGGGGCCTGGAATCATGGCAAGCACTGGATTTACTGACATAGACATTCAGGTCACATCGTCCTCCTTCATTGCTACCGGTCTTCTCTATGAATATACGCACGGTTACTTGGAAAAAAACCTACCAAAATGGGATTGCTTCCCGCAAACCTTACGTAACCGGATGTGTATCGAGATTGCTTGCATTCCTGTTCGAATAGGTCTCATTTATTTTTCTCTGCCATCAGTTCTCTTGGCTTTTACACCGGCGTCTAACTGGACGGCTGATGACACCCAACGTTCACTTATTGCCTGGTTAGTATTGTTGAATCTTACTACTCGTCTACGCTTGGTCGCTAACGCTGGAAATCCAGCTCATTAATGACTGGCGCCTATCTATTTGATCTGATGATATACAGAGAAGACTTCTTCGGTATTCTCCACCATTGCATGGGACCTGCGCTACTACTCTGGACGAGGTTGTGTTTCTCTTCATTTACCTCGGCTGACGCATTGGTATCCCGAAGCTTGATGATGTTTATCTTCTTTGGCGCGGCCACAGGGGGTGTGTTCGCCAGTGCCGGAGTCTTTCTTCTGCGAGTAGGAAAGAGATATTTGGAACGTAGTTCTCTTTACAAGTATTTCGCGCTTTGCGTTGCAGGCTTAACGGTTACCACGGTACTGAGCTGCTACCTGAACGTTCTCTACTTTCTGCATACATGGGATGCAGCCTACGGTTACTTTGGCCTAGCCGCCCCACTGCCTATTATCTGGGAGACTTTTGAATGCTACTTGCAGTGGCGATGGCTGTTACGCTTCTACAGCATTGAAGCTAAACTGTGTCGAGGAGACCAGAGGCCGAAAGACTATTCAGATATGTCGGACTCTACTCCGGATGAGGGTACTGTTTGGCACGAAATACCTTCAGCGTTTCCCAAAGAAACTGCATTTATACTTCGAGCTCTTGTTTGGCAATGGGTCGTGCTGTTGCTTTGCCTGTATTTTAAGTTTGCGAAGGAGTTGTACTTGCACTGGTCATTTTCACCTACACACTCGGTCACTCGAACTGAGGAGGTGATTCAGAACATTACGAAATGGTAGAGTCTTGGTATTTTTATGGACGCATCGGAGGGCTTTTGAAGCGGTCGTAATTAGTAATAAATCTCAGCACAGGAAAAATATCAGAGATAGAGGAAGATAGCAATAATAGTATATTCTACGTAAAAATGAGTGCGCGTTTGGGTACATTTCTGAGTAATTTCCACAGTAGTAAGGGGATTTCACCCAAAATAGGCATTGTTTTTCAGGTTCACCAAGCACAGGGCGACACATTGTACGTCGTGAGCAGAGGATAATAGGCTGAGTGATTATGGAGATCTCACGGTATGGAGGTCGTTGTCAGTGGGTGGGGTGTGTCGCCTGCGCAGAAATGTGGCCGGTCCAAGCCAAACTAGTATCGGTGGAGCATGGTTGCTGATGGTTCAGTTCAAATATAGAACCACAAAATAATTTAAAAGAGAGCCCCAGCTAGCTGCAATTTGAAATGCGCTACGGGTACTCACTCAGCTCAGAGCAGTCCAGTGCCTTGTGAGATATTCTCTGCTGCGACTGTAAAGATATAGAACAATTTGAGCTGGAGGCCTCATAATATTCATACCTCTACGCTATTGCAGAATTCGTATATTTTTTTTCTCGACCTCACTACGATATTATTTGTCAGTATGGATTGGGAGTATCTATCCCCTCTCGACCAGATTCTTCCGCGGATGTACTTTGGCGAGATCCTCTGCTTTCCTTCTACGGATCCAAATTTCTTCTCCATTCTGCAGCATGGGTTGAGAAAAGTTGCAGCCATCGTTCCGCATTTGACGTCCTTTGTTGTGGATGATGATACCCGGCCCGGGAACATCCGACTTGAACACAAACGCGATGCCATTGACAACATTTTGGTGTATGGTCAAGATTCGCCGGAAGAAATACTCGATTATGACACTCTGAAAAGGACCTCATTTCCCATCTTCCCGCAATCATCTCTCTTCTATCCGCATATCCCTGACGTACCACCGGTGGCCCCATGGCCCGTCATCCGGGCCGAAGTCACTCGAGTTCGTGGAGGCTTCATGCTCGTAGTATTAGTTCATCATTGCGTTTTTGATGGACTCGCGTTATCCGAGCTGCTCGGTATGTGGGCTACTTCTTGTGCTCGTGGTGCATTGGGACAGCCGTTGGAAATCAGTCAAGCTCGTCTAAACCGGAGGCTGCTTCAAGGAGAAGACTCGAAACGGGTGCATCCTCAGCCGGCGGACATCTCCAGAGTCATCAACAGATTATTTTCTCTATCTCAAACTATATCACTATTCACCCAATCATTTAATCAAATCTTAACCAAGCCTCCACAGCCTTCCTGGCCTATAACCTTGTACCGTCTACCATATCATAAGCTACGGGGTCTTAAACAAACCATGAACAAGTTTGCTTCCAGCCTTGGGGTGCAATTTCTATCTACAAACGATGTAGTAAGCGCTCTGATATGGAGCTGCGCTACGATGGCAATGAGCACCCCATCCCAGCGCTTGAGTTTAATAAGTCATTGCTCGACCGGCGTATCGGTCAATATTCGGTCAAGGATCCAGCCACGTCTCCCAGACGACTTCCTTGGTTGTGCGTTTGGGGTTGCTTACATTAATATGGCAAGGAGAAAGCTATGTGCTGCCACTGAGGAGACCTCATTTGAGTCCCTAGCTCGAGTGGCGGCTGCCATACGCCACGGAGTGGATGGAATAACCAATAACAAAATGAAAGAAATAATTAACTATGTCGACTCCCAAGAAGATTCAAGGAAGTTACAGTGGCGACCGAAGAAGCTGAATCAGTTTTATATTACCAGTTGGGCGAATCAACGCATTTATGATGCCGACTGGGGCCCCCAAATTGGAAAGTGCGAAGCTCTGCGAGTAGCGCAGATAGCTCTTGCACCAATGTGTGTAATATTACCATCACGAGTGGGGGTTGGATCAAAAGGTGGCAAGTGTGGCGATGTTGAGTTGATTGTGTCACTGGAGAGTTTGCACATGGAGCGATTGAGGAAATTAAAGCTGATGGGGATGTTCGCAGAGATAATACAATAGGGGGTGACATAATCATCCATCTGAAAATAGCAATGTACTCTAGATGCTATCTCCTCATCACTAAATAATCTGGATCTTATTTTGTTGTACTACGTTACCTTAGCTTCTGTATCTATAGCTCAATTAGCGTTATAGATTAAGTGATAAGAAGTCGCTCAATTGAGGTAGTCGTGAGAGTCACTGTTGTAGACTTGGTAGCTGAGGTGACTATTATGACAAGGATTAATATGTTTTATCAAATGATCTGTCAAGGGCTCCTTAATTGTTTGAATACTCTATATTGATAGCGGAATATTTAATAATAAATCTACTATGAACGATTTGAATAATTTGAAGAGTGAAATGTCACGGAAAGGGTTGAACTTGGAATAAGTATACCAGTATTATACTTCGTAGCTATGGCAGCCTGAGGCCATATTTCATCCCGAATATTTTACATTGCTGCATGCCTAAGGTGCTTTCCACTGACATATCCATCTGCGGTATCAACGAACAAGTTTCTACCCTTGATGTACGATACCAATATTCCCCACAATCTCCAGCTACCAATCTGCCCAGTTGCGTACTTCTTCCCCAGCGATAGGAAGATCATCGTTTTGCTTACAGGCTGGTAAGGTGCGACAGGCCCTTTCGTCGTCAAGGCAGCATCCAATGCGTCAGCTAGGTAAATTATCTGGCCATCCGTAACTGTGAGCTGCTTTGGCCCAGCATTACTCACATCACCAATGGCCCAAACATTCTCTGTACCGACCACTCGCATATTGCCATCGAGGTTTACGTTGCCTTGAGAGTCAAGGAAGTTGTCGGGTATGAAGGTATTGTTTAATTGAATCCCATGCAATGGAAGAAATAAATCAGCAACAACTTTTGAACCATTGTCCAGAATCAAAAGTTGCGTCGTGCCATCGTTACCAATACTAACTTCTTTTACACGTGTTTTGCGGATTAGCTTGACACCAAGCTTTTGTAGGTCTTTGTCTAGAGTCGTTCGAACTGAGGGCAGCAGGTCCTTGGAGCTCTCCAGTGGGAAATCCCCATTCATAATTAGTGTGACCTTTTTCAGTTTTCCAAACTTGGCGGCTAGTTCTCCCGCCACTTCAACACCAGTTGGACCTGCACCCGCAATGACAATGTCTCTCGCGCTGCTGACTCTCGCTTGCAGCTCATGCCACGCGGTGAGGGTCTCCTCATGAGTACCGATAGGTTTTAGTGGTAGTCCGCTGGCTATGCTTGAGCCTGTTGCTATTACCAAGTGATGATAATGAAAAGTCCGGTTTTCGCCGCTATTCGCAAGAATGGTAACTGAGTTCGAGGACGATTGAATGACAGTGGCCCTGCCGAGGACAAATTCGAATGTGTCGACTGGGTAATGCTCAAATCCCGTAGCAATGGGGATAAACATAGATGTATCCGGTATTATTCCAGGAATCAGGCCTCTGGTAGCCGCTACATTCCAGAAGAAATGGCTGTTTGGCGATACCAGAATAACTTTGAGGGCCGTCTTTGAGGAGGTGTATTTGAGTAGCTTATGGGCGAGTGGTAAACCCGCCCATCCTGCACCGAGAATAACAACAGTTTTCGCGTTGGTCATATTAGGGATAGCTTCAACTATGAATTCCTGAAATAGTAAAAACAGTATTAATGCCGAAGGTGATGTTCAAAGAGTTTTTAATACAGTTTGGTAGTCCGTCCGGCCTCGGCCACCGGTCGTAGTCTCTCGCCATTTCGCATCATCGCGAATCCGAAAGCAGGAGAATCCACATGGGGCTGGCCCAATCTGTTAGGCTTAGCCGTCGATAAAGTGGGGATTGCGGCGACAAAGATTTGGACCGAGCTCCGGGTCCGAGATTTGGCTACTTTGTAGCAGCCTATCTCCTAACTTTGTCAATTATGTTCTGCCCAGCAACACGCGAGCTCTCCCAAGAAGTCGGCTCGCTCGACTCGTGCCCGAGAGTTTTTCTTCCGCAACCTATATTGGCCGATGCACAGTTATTATCTGCTTGTGTGCAGATAGAGCCGGCCGCCCAAGACATACGATACACACATAAATCCAATTCCTCTTCTACCGGCGTCATGTCCACCGATCCCATCGCAGAAGATGGTTTAAGAATATGGAACTGCGTTACATGTCGGCGCCGCAAGATAAAGTGTGACAGAAGAGACCCTTGCTCAAATTGTGTCAAGAATCGAATCGAATGTCATTTCCCAGTCACTGGCCGTCTGCCACGCCGACGAGATCCCTCAACGTGGAAGTCGCCGACGGAGAAGCAAGCTGAGCTTCTGGATCGACTAAGGCGTCTTGAGGCTCTTGTTACAGAACTTGCAGCACAAGTGGAAGACGGCCCAGACAGGACCCAATCCATACTCTTGGGTTCATTACCCAATGTCACAAGTGACCTCTGTTCGTCAGAAACTGTCGACGCTCAGATTGGAAAGGCAGAACTACCAATCCAAGGATCACCCATGCCCTTTAAAGGATTGATTTCTACTATGAAATCTCACTTTGAAGGAGAGACAAATGAAGACTTTGGAAGATTGGTTGTTGGAAAAGAAGCTGGTCTACAAATAGGAAAGGGCTTCTGGTCCGTTTTCTGTAGTGAAGTGTGTTTAACCTACATATACATGCTTGCACATGAGAGACTAATGATAGCTGTTCAGGTCGAGCACATATTTCATGCTATTCAAGATGTAACTTCAAATGTATCGGGTTCGATTCCTTCGAACTCTGATGCCATCTCATCCAACGGTCACGTATCATCGAATAACAGTTGCTCGGATTTTTATTTTGGAAATGGATCCAAAGAAGGAGTCCCTCAGAGCCTCGATTATTTATACCCTTTACCATCACAGATGCTCTTTATCTGGCGGACATATGTAGAGAATGTTGACCCATTCATCAAAGTTATCGATGTTGCAGCTGTGGAAGAGATTATGACTAATTTGAGGGGTAGATTTGACTCCCTAGAGCCTCGCTTGCAAGCCCTGCTATTTGCAGTATCTTTAGCTGCAATCACATCATTGGACGAAGAAGAGACTGTAAATTGCTTCGATATGTCAAGAAATCAGCTACTTGATCAGTTTCGGCTTGGAACAGAAAGAGCGCTCGCCAACGCTGGGCTTCTGGTCACAAAAGAAATTGAAACTATCCAGGCATTCGTAATCTATCTCTCGCTTCTGCCACACATTGGGGGCCAAGAACTATTATCGCCATTATTGGGGTTATTACTTAGGATTGCGACATCCTCACAGCTGCACAGAGATGCGGAGAATTTCACAATGCCTGCTATGACTCCAGCTGAAATTGAGACGCGCCGTCGGCTATGGTGGCACATTATCTTTATCGACTCAACATCCCGAACTGACCATGCTGCAGGATTGTCGGCATCAGATACAATATTCGACACTAAAACTCCAAGTCATATATTTGATAATGGTAAAAGAAATTCCACGCTACCTTTCGACGCACAAAACGAGTCTGTTATTTGCATAATGCGTTGCGAAATATGGCGATTGTGTCGTTTCCTACACGCACACCAGGGAAAATCTTTGGAGCAGAAACTGGAAACGTTGAACCATACAAGGTCGATGCTAGAGGACTTACATATTGCAAACTTATATTCCAATCACGACCTGGCATCTCTAATTAAGACTATGACCTCTCTTGCCTTCTCTAAAGTCGAACACACGATATATATGCAGCATTTTCGCAATTTGAAAGACCGATCCCAATCCCCATCTCAAGAAATGACGCAACAACATTTGGAATCCTCAATCAATATTCTCAAAGACGCTCATAGGTTGCGAACAGAGCCCTCTTGGAAAAGGTGGAGATGGCAATTGCAAGGAGACTTTCCTTGGGCTTCAATGAGCGCAGTGTTTATCCAGCTTTGCCGGTCTCCATGGTCGTCGATTTCTGAAAGAGGATGGGCGCTTACCCGCCAAATTTTGGAAGAAGTCCCAGACAGAGTAAAAGCAAGTGCATATTGGGACATATTGAGCAAGCTAATCGCCGCCACTGAAGCTCATAGAGGGAGGAATCCGAGAGAGTTGACAGTGCAAACTTGTCCAGACAATGAGACAAATGCATGCAGCTTCATAAATACAAAGGCTGGTGCTAATGAGGCTTCAAACCTCTCGCATACCCAATCAGCGAATAGTCATATTCCGATTGGTAACCTAGACTTTAGCAGAATGCTAACGTCTAGCATAATTGACGAATCCAATGAGTTGGAATCCATTGTGACATTCAATCCTATGGAATGGCAGGCATGGGATGAGGCACTTATAGCTGATGATCAATCCTGGGGCTTAGATTATTGACTGTAAATTAAGTATATATGAGTAAATTTTTATATTTGAAAAGCTAATTAATATTACTAAGTAAGATTACAACTTCTGACCTATACTTTCTTTACTATTAGGGATTGCGCTAATGCGGCATATCTTTTGTACATCCGGTCTCCCACGGATATAGTAATATTACTTGATTGCCGCATTCAGAAATCCGTCAGACCCTTCTGTCTTCCTCCAGCCCAGCATTAGACGTACACCTCAGACTGATCCGATTACAACACCATGTGGTCTTAGAAGATTGTGTTACCATTACAATTCTATATTAGAAATCCTCTCGATAAGTCGGACTTCTAGCGTTGCATGTATTACCCTGAGTACCCTTTGAAAGGTTACATGGTAACACATGAGTCCTCCTGGCTTGTAATGCTGATGTTTATTTAAGCTAACCATCGGACCGTCATAATAACATCTGCAGGTACCATGACTCTGCTCTTTTAAAATCAACAAAGAGGCTCTCTTGCACATTATCAGCTTGGTAACATTGCAATGATTTTGCTAATCATTTTGACCTTTTTCAACATGCTCTGCGCCGCTGCAGACGTGTTTTCCATCCCAAACGTCAACGCCACTTTCCAGGAGTCACCCAAACCGTTCGAGATCTACGTTGACCGAAGTTTCATTGAGGACACAAGACAGCGAGTGGCACATGCTAGGGCGCCAGTTTTCATGGGGGCAACGGGGGAAGGTCCGAGTCCTGAAAATTACACCAACATTAGAGATTACTGGGCCAATGAATACGACTGGAATATGACTGAGGCAGCCATTAACAAAAAGTGAGTGGGAATATTTATTGCGATATGTCCCTGACCGCACTAACAGCTTTTGGCAAGGTTCGAACAATTCACGACAATTGTCACGCCAATTATAGGTAACGACACATATACAGTTCCACTACACTTTGTTCACCACCGTTCATCGCGCAACGACGCCATTCCTCTGCTCTTTATCCACGGCTGGCCAGGCTCTTTCCTCGAAGTCACCAACATCATTGACGATTTAACGAATCCACCTAACACATCCGTGCCGGCGTTTCACGTAGTCGCTCCCTCAATACCGGGATTTGGATTTTCCCCAGCACCTCAGCGCCCGGGGTTTGGACCGGTCGAAGCTTCGCATGCTTTCGACGCGTTGATGAATCAACTGGGTTACGATAAATATGTCATTCAAGGTGGAGATTTTGGCGGCGTCATCCTTCGTTACCAGGCTCATCTGTTTCCAAAGAATGTCGTCTCAGTGCTCAGCAATTTTTGGATCATTCAGCCAGGAGAAAGTGACACTCGCAAGCTCGCAGAAGGGCTAGCAACTCCTGATGAAGTTACCTACATTAGGATATTGGAAACGTATATTAACCAGGCATCTGGATATCGCCTTATGCAAGAGACACAGCCGCTTACAGCGGCCTTTGCTATGTCAGACTCTCCGCTGGGTAATGCGATGTGGATCTATGCGTTGATGGCAGAAGTCATCGACCCAACAATCATGGCCTGGACGCCTGAGGTGATCATCACATGGTCAATGATGTACTATATACAGGGGCCTTATGGCGGTATGCGTTTCTATAAGGAAGTGGCTAACGACGGCGCTCTTGATGCAATCGACTTTGGCACTCTCCCGATTGTGGAGGTGCCAGTGGCAATCAGTCAATTTCCTTATGATATCACATATCGAATGCCCTTGGAATGGGCCAAGCGTGGAGGCAATGTTAAAAAACGAAACGTGCACAGTCATGGAGGTCACTTTGCCGCCTACGAGGTGCCTGGTCTCCTGGTGCAGGACATCTGGGAGTGGTTCGGGGATAAGCAAGCTTCCGGAACGAAAGCCTTTCTAAATTGATTTATTAGACTACGGCGAGCATAATGTAACGGGCTCGTATTTCTAGAGGGCATTTAGTAAATCGAGCATATTAATGAACACAGATCATGTTGTTTATCTGAAAATAACGGAAATTATTCTGCAGTCTTGTTGTTATACCCTTGGACTCCGTAGCCGAGTTATAAGTGATAGTAAGACAGAAGAAAATACAGCCTTTTACTTAGTTACCACATTACTGACATAAACAAATCAATCCATATACACCTTGCTGCCGTGCTTATTATCTATCTCATTTTATTATTACAGCCTAGGATGTCCGCAGCTTCTACTATTATATAAAATATATCGATAATACTTAAAATGTAGGTGAGTAAATGGGATAGCGAGGCGACTATTTTTGCTAAATTTAATCCCACCAGTATGCATTATAGGCCCTTGCAGAATTAATTCGGGTTGTATTATCTATGAAATGGCTTCTAAATTGAAATAGTAAAGGACTTGTACTTACCTATATCTCAATACTATAGGTAGTATGTTATTTATCACCGACCCACCTTGCGAATTTCTAGCCATCGCAGAGGAGGGAATATAATCATAGCCCATGAACAGCCCACCCAAATGCCCAGATCAGCGCCAGTTGGGCTGGCAAGCTTAGCAATGGGGCCAACATAATAAATTTGGTACATGCAGAGAATGGCCCCCACCCATCCGATGATAAACGCTGTAAATGCGGCCAGGCCCAGTGGCAACCGTTTAGGATCAGACCAGGCTGTCCAGTCAAACCCGCTGGTCCTACGGAATATCAAATGTTCTTCCAATGTGATTACAAGGAAGATAGTAACCCAGTAACCCATAAGAGCCAAGAAGTTTTCGAATATATCATAGAGGTTATTGCGCCCACCCAAAGCACACACGGTGTAGATAATGACGCCAACACACGAGAGTAACCATCGGGGTATTCGCGCACCATATCGACCAAGTACTTGGAAGCATAAAGCGGCAGAATATGTACCGGGAATATTGTTCGCGACAAGGCCGAGGGCAATAATAACACCTAGGAATTTTCCAAACCCTCCCAGGCCTTGGTAACCTGCAACAACAAGAGCTCCAGAAGATACGTCATTAGCATCACTCCATGATGGCTGCGTAAAAGTGCCAGATGCTAGACCAACACCTAGCAGATTTGCAAATGCCATCGCCAGGCCGACGCCGGCGGCCGTCATAGTGAATGTCTTCCACTTCTTGGTGTTCTCCGGGTAGTACACGTAAAAGTCTGCTCCTGCGGGGGCCCAAGCAACGGCGGAGGACAAACACAGAGAAAAAAATGAGAGACGGTTGCCATTGATGGTCGAAGTGCCCCCAGTTGACTGGATGGAAGTGTCAAATTTAGTGCCTGCGGAACCAACCAGGACAAACGCTGCGATGAGCTGCGGAACCCATGCCCATCTAGATGTGCGCCATCTTAGTCAGTCTCTGGGGCGTCAAAGGCGACGGGTAAACAATAGGAAAAAGAGGGGACCTACCTTTCGTACGTCTGAAAGATTGACATGCCAAAAAGTACAATGACCCAAGAGATGACAGCAATTATAATGATGCCGACAATGACGGTGAGTTGGCCATCAGCAACGGCGGAGAGGATCTGCCCTCCGACAAGACAATCTATCATGCCATAACCCAACATAATCACAATGTTCAAGATGGTGCAGATCTTGCTAGGCCAATATCCCATGAAATATCTCGCCAAAACCTAAGAGCAAACCATTAGAGCTGCAGGGAGATTATGGGCTTTCCATACGTGAACGCCACAGCTTAAAAAGGGAAGCAGAAACCCCCCCCCTTCCGAAAAGAAAAGAAAAGAAAAGAAAAAGAAGTAAAAAAATAAAAGAAGAAAAGTAAGGAAAAGTCCATACCATTGTGCGATTCCCACTGGCAGGGCCAAATGTGCTGATATAGGCAACTCCCATAGCGCCCAAGATAGCGCCAAAAGTCGCGCATAGCGCTGCATCTGTGAAACCTAGAGAGTAGTCGAGCGGCCCGAGCATACCAACCGCCATGTTGTTGGCGGTGATATTGGAACTGAACCATAGCATAGTCATTTGCATGTAGTTGGAAGCACCGACTTTCTCCAATCTCTCCGTCACTGGCACACGCTCGATACCGCGAGCCTCGAAATACTTGAGGCTGAGAATTCGCTGGTTAACACTGGCGAAGAAGCCGCTAGAGAGAGCCATTTCCGCTTCAGGAATATGGCTCTCCAACGTGGGCTTTGAACCATCTGTGGCAGTGTCATTGTCAATGTTCTCCATCGGTGCGTTGTAGGATGGAGGAAAAGAGACTGATTCACCAAAAAAAGAAAAGAAAAGGCAAGAAAAGGTAAGAGGTGAAACTCGACTCGACTCGTGCGAAGATAAAAAAAATCTGTTATCGGAGCACAGCGGAAAACACGGCAACTCGGCCCACTGACGTGGACTTGAGTCGCAGATCTCAACTACCTCGCGTGACTCAAATTGGCACTCGAAACTTGCATAACATGGAAGTTGCTGATTGCGGTACATATTTATACACGCAAATTCCGTAGAGTAATCCATTAACAATCTGATGCGTTGATGCTACATGTTGAAGCTAATGGGGAAGAAGGTTATTGGTAACTTCTTGAGAAGTCCATTAGACCAACTAGCGCCTATTACAGTGGATCAAGGATATTAAGAAAAAGTCTTCTTGGGTGTGTCGCGGCAGCTTGAACACTCTTCATGCCTCTCGTTCGGTGCGGGTTGATGCTGCAGAGAAATTATTGTGACGAAACAAGCAAAAGAGCGGCAGGATGGACAAGAACTGGTGCTCCGCGATTCCCGTATACGCGGTTCTATGGCTCTCGCCAGGCTCAAGCGCTAATACTGCTGGTTAACTAAAGTGATTTATTCTTAAGAGCCGCCGCTCTGAATATTATATGGTAATTCTTGAGAACACATCCAAAGAGTATCATTCAGCTTGTGCTCAATTGACTATTTGGTAATCCTGACTGACTGCTCCCAAGCCATCTTTAGTATACAGCGCAAGGAAATGGTTTTGATCGAGGGTAAAGAGCCCAGGCCAGTGCGAGCGTGCATCACCCGTGACAGTAGTTCCGCTCCATGTAGAACCTCCGTCTGTACTAGTAACAACTTTCATCTGGGCTCCATCAATACCATTGCCACCGGTACCAGCCACGTCTTCGTTTGTCATAAAGCTTGTAACAAGAGTGCCACCAACATTAACAACCTGAGGAGCTCCTGCATTGGCTCCATTGTGCGCTGTATACAGGCGCGCTCGCTCTCCCCACGAGTTGCCATCATCGTGCGATAGAACGTAGTCGATAGAAAAGGGTCCTGATTCCGTATTCTCAAAAACAGCACTAATGATTTGTGTTATCATTAGCTTATTTCTGTACCATTGTTTCCAGATGGCAGTGAAAGGCTTACATTAAATTACCGGAATTATCAATGTTCGTGACACCAATCATTCCGTCGCGTGAGGTGCGGTCACCTCCGGATACCTTGATCCAGTTTGACCAAGTCACACCTCCATCAGTCGAACGCTTCATGTAACCGTCTTGATCCGCAGCATTGTTCTCAGCGGAATAGTAGCATTGTAGAGACCCATCTGCAGCAAGACGGAGAAAAGGTTCCCAAAGGCCATTAGGGATGCCTGGAGTGGCTGCTTGTTGCTCCACAGTCGATAGATAGAGAAAGCTAGCACCGCCATCATCGGAGTATGAAAGAGTAATTCGGTAATATGTGTAAAGGTCTCCTGATCGATCATGGTTGCGATAGGCATATACAATACGTCCACTAGGGAGTTGCAAGGGCAGAGCATTATCAACGTCATGAGCGGATGAATCGGCGCGATAGACTTCGCCAACAAAATGCCATGAGGCACCACGATCGCTGGAGTTAGCGAGGCGAAGAATGCTCTGGTTGTTTTCATGGGCAGTATAACCTGCAATCAAACCTCCATTGCTGGTGGAGCTTACTCGAATATATACTCCATTTGTGTCAATAACAACAGGGGAGCCAACTTGGCCCACAACACTATGCGATCGCTGTTCAAGACTGACAGGGTTGCCAAAAACTCCAAAAGGAACGAATAGTGTTAAAAATATGGAAAACATACTTAGTATAAAGATAGCGGGGTAGTGTTAGATTAAGTGATATTGTAATAGTGATCAATAAATGATTGGCGATGCAGCCATTATTTATATTCCAAGCAAGGACACATAGGCTAAGAGAAGGAAGGTAGATACATACCCTATGGAACATTTGAAGGCCATCTCCAAGTCCGACTCAACTATCCAAGGTATAGCTTCCTATCTTGGTATAGCCAAGTAATCCTCCCCGCTGATGGATACTTGTTTACTTCGGGAGTACTTGATAGGAAGTTCCGTTTGCTTTTTAACTGGTTGAGTAACAAGTGGCTGTCGCAGATCGAATTCTACTACACCCAGTAGCTCCACTCCCGGGTTGCAGTTCTCGGACTTTAATGTTGCACATCGGTGCCCCGGCTAGAAGAGTAGAAGACAAATAACATACCTTGAATAACTTGCCAAGTTTTTGCCGTCAACCAACGTTGGTAGAGTGTACTCGAGCTTGCGCGACAATTGGAGAGCGTCTTCCTTCTAAGTCTAGAGGACGGCATTCTCATGCGCGGTGAATACTGTTTTATAGACTGAATATCTGGAATGAGGCTTTTCATCTTAGGCAGCATCAGGTAAAGAATATAGAGTCCAAATAAAATTAATATTAACTCTAATCCATAATCAAAGCACATCAGAATTGCTATGAGATACCTGACCTTATTGCGCTAGAAAGGTATTAGGCGACCCGCAAGATGCAAATACGTACGTTAATGATGTTTTTGTTAACTTTACTTGCCATGGCTGTCTTGCTACAGTAAATTTGTACATAGCTAGGTATATTTTGCCACAACTTAGGCAGCTGTATAATTTGGGGGAGACCAGTGTCTAGATGAGCCACATGCTTCAAGGTCTACAGTGATTGTGGCCTGCTGTTGAGTGTGGTCGTAGACCAGGTATGGATTACTCAAAACTAATTGCCGCATAATAAAGTGGTCCACTTTTGGTGGATAGCTTTGTAATATGGCGTGTCCCCTTAGGGTTGAAGCTTAAGTTGATGCGACCCAATCCGACGTAGACATGTCATATGTAGTCTTGCATCATCAGGAACCAGCAGATAGATTTATGCCCTAGCCAGAAGCGAGAAGTATTAAGTCAGGCAAGAACAGGATGAAATATGGACTGTTCATCCGGTTATTATGACATTCGATGGCATGCATACATTTGTCTGTGTTAGTAAACCGGATGTGTACACGGAATAAATCCCATGATTAGCCTGCTGTACGGAGAACAGTCCTATCGGCCCTAGATTTAAATCCTAAAGGTGCTTCCAGGAATTTTACATCATCTCAAAAGGGACCCTACTGATAAATGCTAAACCTGGAGATCCACCTGTAGAATTGGAACTACCATTGGCCCTGCGTCAAATATAATAATTATTGTGGGATTAATGGATATACTCTCACTTCTCGTTTTATTATTCTGGGTTCATGCTCAAAGTCTCCAATTCCTTTTTGGATCGCTTAGCTAGACACATGGTGGGATTGCTGTACTTTTCGTTATAAACCCTTTGACCTCATTTCTCTGGATATCAATACATGTACCGTTCCTACGTATCAAGCTTCCCATTTTTTGCATATCTATACAGCTGGTTGTGTTTGCATTTAGGAATTGCTCACTTTTTATTACGGAATTCAGCTGAAACACCAACCTTAGCTATCAATCATCACCCAGCTGGTCAAATCCCACGATCAAATAATTAAGAATGGTATAGCAATCTAAGGACAAAGGATTAATATCATAATAAAGAGTGTATTTTAATTATTACACAACATTCTATTTAAATCCAATTTTGTGTGTTGAAAATTTACTCATTTATATAAATGATAATTTATTAATTTTAAATTTCAAGCTAATGTTTATCTAGGTGATTGAAAAGCTAGAAATCGCCCAAAAAACGCTGTAACATCTTTTACATCATCTATAGCGCAGACTTTTGCAATATCTTTCCATAGTTAGCGCTCGTATATATATGTGTTTGTAACTTCATTACTTACATTGGTCTGGGCGAACAACAATCAAGCATCCTTCAGGATGAATGCCGTAGGCTTGGTATGCTTGTCCATGCCCTGCATTGTAACTAACATCGTCCACAAACACCTTTTGGAGATCTACTCATGTTAATTGTGGCCTGAAAATGTACGGGTAAATAGGGCTACCTACGTTTGATCTTCCACTTTCCTGTCTCTGGTGTGAAGACATCGGGGATCATTTTTTGCTCTATCTCAATGCGCTTTGACGCAAGCACGAGTACACCTTGGATAACAGTATTGGCATCCTGGCCACGTGGTGTAAACATATGGATAATGCTCTGCAGTTCTGCTGCGACCTAGGTGAATATAGCCTTTGTTAGTGTGGCACTCTACACTTGGGGCTCTGACGTACCTTGGCAAGCCGAGCGGCTGTAATCTGTTGTAAGATATCTCCTGCAAATACGATAACATGCCAACGGGAATCAGCAGGAAGCGCTGTCATTAGCTGCATGGGGCGAGCGTCGCAGAAGCGTACAACCCGGGCGCTGGGGAAGCGCATCCCAACCACAACGTTGCGAGCTAGGATCTTGTCTGTCGAGTTGGGGGATATAAAGACAGATTCTTCGTATTGCACGCCCTGGCCGGCTGTGTACCTACCTGCTTTGACAAAGTGGTCCTTGAAGTCCTGTGAAGTGATTCCATTCTCCCGTCGATAGGAAGATGAGAACAGTTTTGTGAAGAAACGATCAAAATCGATGAGCTGTGCGGCCGTCTTCTGGCGCTCCGAGACATATGTCTCGAGAGTCTTGGCCAAGGATTGACCTCGTAGGACAGCTGCCAACTTCCAACCAATATTGAAGCCATCTTGTAGGCTTACGTTCATCCCCTGTCCAGCCTTTGGAGAGTGCGTGTGGCAAGCGTCGCCCGTCAAGAAGACACGTCCTGCCTTCTCGAAGTTATCAGCGAGGCGCTGTCCTATAGAGTACGCAGACCACCAGACAGTCTCCATGAACTCGATAGAATAGGGGTGGAAGATGCGGCTCGCCCGTTCCTGGAGATCGGCCAATGTGACATCCTTGACAGTTGCACTGCCTAGCTCGATGTAGAAACGAACCATGGAGTCACCTTCACGAGGGATAATCATAAGGTTCCCAGCATGCGATTGGATAATGGCCTTCTTGCGGATGTCAGGAAAGTCAGTTTTCGCGTGAATATCCATAACACCCCAGACCGCATTCGTTGAATCGCCGACCATAGTAAACCCTAGGGATTTCCGAACAGCGCTGTGAGCCCCGTCACATGCCTGGCTCATTATTAGCATTAATAGAATGATGTGACAAGGCTGTCTGACTAACCAGCAAATATTTGGATCGAAAGACTTTTTGTTGCCCGTTTGAACTAGCTGTGGTGGTGATGCAGTACGCAGCTGAGTCATCGCTCGCAATATCGTCCACTTCCACAGTCTGGACCTCACAACCATACTCGATTACTGTGCTTTTGGATACACGCTGCATTTCTTGGATCAGCATGTTATTTACTCTTGCCTGGTTGAGAATAACATGAGGCTGGTGGCTTAAGCCCGGCTCTGTGTCCGCGGTGTAGTGTGTGCGCTTGATGCCATTGTCTTCTGCCGCCCAGAAAGCAACCTCGAGAACATGATATGCCTCTTTGAGGAGGTCTTCTGCTATACCAAAGCTTTCAAAAATTTCCACGGTCCGACACTGAACGCCATCTGCTTGGCCATTTTCGAGCGGGCCGGGTCGGCGCTCTAGAACCTTATAATTGATGCCAGATCGAGCTAGCCAGACTGCGGCGCAAAGTCCGGCAGACCCGCTGCCACATATAAGCACGTCCACCTGCTCGGCCATAACGTCGTATCACGGTGGTTGCTGATTTGATAAAAAGACAATGCACAGGATTGGGGGGAGTCAGAAGCAGTCAGAAGCAGTTCCCCGACTCCTTTTTCCAAGACGAATACGTCGAAGTATATAAACAGCCTTGGTTAAGTTTTATAAACACTTATAACCACGCTTCGGCTGGATATAAACGGGGGCCGATGACATCCGGACCCCGTACCCGAGGTAGCATCCGAGCTTAGCATCCAAATCGGTACTTGAATCGGCATTTGAATTATGCCACAACCAGACTCCTAGCAATACTGGCTGGCGTTCATTGTCCCTTACGTTTTAGCTGAAAGTGCTTTTGTTACGACTTGGTTATTCGTAACTCTTATCCTTTATAAATAGCCGGTTTCCGTCACAAGAATTGCGACCATTGCGATTAGACCCAATCCTTTGGCCTGCTGGCTGAGCGAGACAAGGGATCCTTACATTCGAGAACAATATATTTGCGGAGTAAGGCATGTACTACGTCTCTTTCTTAAAAGGAGTTCTGCCCGCACTTGGATATGCACACTCGTCACTCGCTTAATATTCTTTATGGAGGCCCACCTCAATATCAGAGTCCTGATTTTGATCAGAGGCATACCTGTCTTGACGTTGACCAACCAATTCCACATCCATAGATCCTTTTCGTCCCCACCTATCCCGCCACGATTCCCTTGCTTCTTGTGGGCCAGAGGAAGAATCCACTCGATTAGTGATAGTTATCTTCCTCCCAGCTGCTGTATTGTTGTTCCTTTCGACAGGACCGGAGTCTAGCCTCTCAGACGATGATAAATTGCTGAAAAGGCGCATCTTCTTCAGCAGTGGTTTAAGTGTTGCAAATGATGAAGTGGCCAGGGCAACTCCAATCTCAACCGTACCCCAAATACCTAGGTCGACGGTGGTATAGAGGTAGTCTGGGTTGTCGAGATAGCCTCTTGCAAATGGAATGCGAACGATAGTAGCAATAGAGGCACTGGACCTAATCAGCTTAAGGGTTAGCACGGTATGGTGGTAAATGTTGCTTACATAGATCCTAGAGCAAGTAAAACAATAATGGATATCTTCTCTCGCTGTGGTATCTGTGCTTTCCATACAAGAGTGGCGGGTAATGCAGGCAATATCCAGTCAGCGATAACATTGATAAAAGCTGCGATATATGTCGTGATTGTGGCAAATGTTGTTGGGTTACAGCTGCCCACTGTCGATGGAATAGGATTATATCTCGTCCATTGCAATGATATTGGCTGGCAAGTTCGAATAGCGAATACCAAAAATATAAGATCGAATACAGTGATGACAGCCAAGATGGTCCAGATTGTGATTTGCCGCCAGCGTTTACGTGGGCAAATTCGCAAGAGAAATGTTCCCACAATCCACTTGGTTAATAATGAAAGAATGACATATATGAAAGTGACAATCCATCTATAAAAGATAGCCTTTGGGCGATCATCAGGCGGTACGTCTACCACATGCGAGCCAATGCCATATTTGATAGACAGGGCAGCACAGATTGTGTAAGCTGTGTATAATATCTGTGAGGATAATTAGTATTTAGGCCTTATTTAACCCATCGCATGCATGATCATATACCAACGCAACCAATGAGATATAATCCTCAGGGAAGAAGTGCTTAAGGATAAAACCATGGGTGAAGAATCGAAGTCCAATGGCTATGAAGCTTATAATATAGAGTGTTATTACAACTGCTAACGCTTCAGGCCCCCGGCTTCCAGACATAATCAACAGTTGAACGCAAAGGTATAAGTAAGAATTGGTGCGATATCGAGCATGAAATATGATGTACACTCATGTATTCAAGGCCCATATATATAAACCTAATCAGAAGGAGCTTTAAAGCAGACTATAATAGATGACCAGTACCCGACTGCACGCCGTTGTTCTCGTGGATTAAGACCCTTCTCAAGGATTATGTGGGCAATGCCCAATATGGATACCAGAGCGAGTTCTGGGCTTTCAGATTCAGGAATAACCAGGCACCTCAACTGCTGTTTTGTCGAGTGTTGGTGTAGATGACATGTCTTTTCCTCGCTTAGAACCATCTCTTTGTCAGGGGCAATAAATGTTATGGGTAGATGAAGCAACCAACTATGTGCCTTAGCCTCACCAGCGCCCTGTTCTGCTGAGCAATAAGTGGGTGATAAGCCGCTATTGTTTCAGCAATGGTGCTCAGGTTCTGTCTCAGATTGATCTGTCTCGCATAGTTCCCCGCGATAAGTGGAGATCTACTGCTCACATGGCCCCAGTAGTCCCACCATGTACTTGCAGTACTGCGAGTATTTGTAAGTCATTCCATTTTCCTTTACAGGGTCCTGTCGAAAGTAGGGAAATTTTGAACTCTATAGGTGGATAACTGTTCAATATCTCCTTTTCCCAGTAGTTGGAGGAGATGCTCGCACACTAGTCACCCGAATCAGCAAAATAGGTCCTGTTGAAGTGGGGTACCCTGTCGGGTAGTTTGGGCGTAGACGATGAGGTTTTATTTCGAGTGGTAGTTGTCTTTGAAGAGCTCCAAATAATACGCAGGCGTGGGCATTTGCCCACAGACCTGTGCGAGTAGAGCCAACATATGAATTCTATTTCAACAGGTCACTTGACGTAAAACCATTTCTGGATGCAATTGAATCATCAGAGTCGATAGTCTTAATGAAATGAAACTACTTGTAATTGTCTGCAATGTTAGGCTGCGTATCCACAGAGGTCTCAATGCTATTGCCGGTGCTGGTGGGTAGAGAAGTGTCCATAGTGACAGTCAGAGGCTCGCCTAGTACGGAGTTGTGGACGCAGTACGAGTTCTCTGTGATATAGCTGTCAGGTCCGGTGTGGTAGGCTGAGTCCTGTTCTGCGGTAGTTAGTATCAAAGTTATTAGTCTGGACAGCAAACTTACCCCTCTCGAAATGTCACCTAGCATGCCCTACATGCTATGGAGCTATGATTGTCTCACCACCGTGAGAATTGGGGCTAGTGTTGGGGTCGTATGGCATATTGGGAGTGCAATATGACATGTATACGTTATATTGGTATCAGACTGGTAGGGTATGTGCAAAACGGACCGTAGGCTGAAGAAGCTAACCAAGAAAAGAGAAGAGATTGTCATGATGATGATGATGAGGAATGTATTCAATGTCTCATCGCTAGCGTCTTGACAATGGAGTGTTGCCACATGCCATCAAACGCGCTATTAATCTTCTAGATGCTCATGAGTGCGGCTTATTAACGACGTATAAGCCGTGTACCACCGCCCCCTAATACTAATTACTAAGAAACCAAAATGTCTCGGATTAAATGATCCGTCTCCTCTCGCGCATCCAACAGAATGAATTTGGATCTAAGACTACTAATCCAGCTCTTTCACTAATTACTCTCACTTAATATTCGAAGACAGCTCGAAATAGAACAAAATGCTTCAGAGGGCTATAGCAAGCACATAGAGCAATAGAAATATTTATACTTGAGATGTTTAGACTCGCCCACGGTGATTGCCACTTCCATATTATGTCAAGAGAACGTATTAAGACATTGTTACCCTTAATATCTTGTAAACTATTCGGTTCGAGTGCTCGTGATGAAACGTCGTATGCTAAGTGTCTGAAAAGTTATTAGACGTAGCTTCATATTCTAGATACAGTCAGCATAAACAACACATGTTCGAGAAATCTCGCTCACCCGACCGAAATTAGCACAAGTCAATCACAAAGCAGTATTGAAATATTTGGACATCCAGTGCTACTCGTAGTGTCGATTGTATTTATAGTTTTGACTGCATTCGTAAGGTCGTCGTTCTCATTAACGTCGACTGTATCCGTCACGCGGGCCGTATCCGTAGTCTCGATTGTATCCGTAATAACAAATGTATCCGTAATTTCGAATGTATCCGGTTATTTTATATTTATATCTCCAGGCTTCGTCAATCAACAGCAAACTTGTCTGTCATATTGTTTGACTATTCCTAAGCTACGTCATTTTGAAGTAACCCTCATTTTTTGAAGATCCTAGTTTGCAGCAATGTCTTCCCAGAAGTCTCCACGCAAGTTACCTAACGGGAGTTTATATACCACCCAAAATTTTCATATACATCATCGAACGGGATTCATTCCATCACATATGCCACTACTAAGACTTCCAATTGAATGGGAGGTATGGGAGGTGATGTTGGATGCTGCAAAGTCCCAAAGTTTTAAGGCAGCTGGGCGGCTTTCAGTGATGGATATCCCGCAGAAAATAGCCGAGAATGAGAAAGTCCTAGCATGGAAGAAGCTGGTTGATAAGGTAGGAAAATTTACTGATGAGTAAACTTTGTCCTAACTCCATTTTATAGATGCCAGTATTGTCAGTCGACAACATCAAAGGGTGTGAAAGAGAGCTCAGAAGAGCACACCTTGTCCTTGCCTTTATCGTTCAAATTTATGCACACGCTACTTCCTCAACGGAATCCATTACTATCCCTCGTTCGCTTACTGTGCCACTGCTTCATGTCTCCCACGAGCTGAACCATGCGCCTTTTATTACTTATTCTGATCATGCTCTTCACAACTGGTCTCATAAAAATCCTCGTGACCAGGAATCTCCTCCAACTTGCGATAATCTTCAGTCTCAACTCACATTTACGGGAACTCCCGACGAGGATGAATTGTACATCATCGATATACGAATGGAACTCAAAGGCGCTGAAGCAATTGAATTAATGAGATTATTCACAAATGAGATTGACGCTGGAAATAATCTTGACATTGATCGCATCACAATGTATCTCACGCAAACAACAAGAGCCCTTGAGGAGATGAAAGGCATCTTATTAAGTACCAAGGAGCTAGTTCGGCCTGAGATATTTTACAATGACATTCGACCATGGCTTGTTGGAGCTGATGCGGATCCCTGGAGCCAAAAATGGGCCTGGGAAGGTAAAGAAGATGTTGAGAGCTCAGAAGAGGCTCTAAAAAATATCAGTGGTCCGACTGCAGGTCAGAGCCCTCTGCTTCATACTCTAGATGCGTATCTGGGTATAAAAGAAAGCAACAGTAAGAGCTCGTTCCTAGACCGCATACAAGGTTATATGGATCATAAGCATCGAACATATCTTCAAAGCCTTCGATCAAGAAACAGCCACATTCGATCCTTTGTCCAAGACATAGCTAAGAAACAGGGTACTAATTCGCCGGTTGTGGTTGCGTATAATGCCATAATTAAGGCGTTCAAAAGTTTCAGAGACGCACATCTCATTATTGTGGCGTTATACGTCATAATTCCTTCTAGAAAGAACACTAAAAACTCTGATATACGCACTGAAATACCGAGTGGAGATCTAGAAGACGATTGTTTATGTGAAAAAGTCGCTGGAACGAGAAATGATCATACTGGGGAGGTAACTCTGATAAGTGATCAAGGGACCGAGTTGATGAATATTCTCAAAGGATTCAGGAATCAGACTAGCTATGCTTGTTTGGAATAGTCATTCACTTTATCAAATTCATCAACATTTAGATTCGTCCGATTTAAGATAGTTCAGAACTCGTATATCTGCAAGTATTGTCACAAGGAGGCTAGTGTTGATTAGTGAAGTACACTATCGTAATCAGACGTATAATTGCCTCAACAATCGCACCTAGTACGCGGGCCTCCCCGAAAGTGGATTGATAAGTTAGTTGGAGCAGAAGACTTGATCAGCCCACGGAACAGTGGTGACAACCTGCATATCCTCCTATCTCGCGATGAGATGCCACTGGGAACGTGGGCTCAAATTGAATGAGTCGTACCTGCCTTATTACTCTCACATTGAGTATGGAAACTTTTTAGAAAATGGTGCTGCTTGAAAATTCAGAGAGATCTTTATATCGAATTAGCCGTACTAGAGAAAAAGGCGAAATGCTCGATCAAATTCGCAATATGGACGACTGTGCGCCAGCCAATCATCTGGGCGATGGAAATGACTGAAGGCTATCTCAAGTCCGACTTTGTCAATCCTAAGGTTGCCGTAGGAAGGATACCAATAATTCCACAGGCTTTAGCGACCAGATTAATGATGCTCTCGATACGATGGAGGCCTGGTTTTGCTAACCCTACTATATGGATCTAGTCGACTCCATCTCCATTCCCGTGTTATTTATCCAGTCTGCGGTGGAATATATGTCCTATATCATTATGGTAGCTGATGGAGCCATATCGCAAGACATTTATTTTGGCTTTCATCCGAGCTATTTCTTTCCTAATTCCAACTGTGGGTGAAATGCTGAGCGCTATTGACGATACCACGGAGATAGGCTGCATTGTGACAGCCCCAGGGGAGTGAATCAAGGTAACGTTTAATGTTATTCCACAATAAAAGATCCAGATGAGCAATTTTGTGTCTAGTGTGGCTGAGTGTTGGACTAGATGACAGGACGGACCGTAGTTTACTTGGCTGTTCTTGCGCCTATCCTTTGAAGGAACTTAAAGGTTGCGCCGTCCATGGGGCGTGGCGGGCGATGCATCTCAATCCAAAATTCTTTTGACATTATTTCGTGTTGCGGCGCTGTCAGGTTGCTAACCATCCATTCGGTGTTGACTACAGACTCAACATAAGGCCTGGGACGTGCAACAGCCTTTGCTCGCATAATATCCCCACGTAAGCCCATGAGCCATGGATGCACGACTGAGACTGATAGTTAGAAAAGCTCTTCAAAGTCTTAGGGAAGTGACTTCAAAATCCTAAGAGCAAGACTTACCACTGACATAGTCATGCACAGTAACAAAGTTGCCTGCGGAGGGTGTAACTTTAATTTTCAACCCTCTCTTTCTGAGCGGTCTATCGTCTCTACAACATCGTATGAGAAACTCAGTATCCGAGTCCTCCTCCCAGCTGCCATCTTCGTTGGGCTCATTTGCGTAAGGCCGGTCTTCATCGCTGAGATCTCCATAGGTGATATACTCGGCGTTAAACTCAGGTGCGGTATGGTCCCTATGCCATGCTAGCCAATCAGACTCCCATTGGTCAAGGTCGCGCAGCGAAGCCTCAACAGAAGAGACCTTTGGGTCGGTCAGAGGCAGCGATGAGATCTCATGCCAGGTGCCACTACCGCTGCCGTTGGTGTCTGATCTGAAGAAGGGGTCAAGCTCGCCCACGCTGCGAGCGGTCCTCATGACGGATACTGCGGAAGGGAAGACGCCTTCTAGAGACCAGTAGAGACGCTTGGCGGCGGGGCAGAAGAAAACACGCTCCTCATTGCTCCGAAGCTCCTCAAATGAGGGGTAAGGGGGCTCATCCGGTTGGCTCGACTGCACAGCTGCCATCATTATATGATAAAGATTGTACAATGGCTTTGTTGACTGGAAGCTCTAAGAATTTAGTCTTTTTTGGGGTAGCTTAAGGACCGTAGATTTACGGACCAATATAGAGGATATATGTACTATTTTATAATAGGACCACAGCTTGTTATTATCGAGCACTATATGCTATAAAAACACGCGATAAAGCGATACTTCGCCTATAACAATAAAGACTGAAGTAGAAGACAGCTGACGTACCAATGCAGCGCAAGTTGGTCTAAGGATATGAATGCATGTAAATGTAAATCGGACCAATTGCTGATTATAAATAGCAATTAGTTAACCTCTTTGTCTTTACGCCTTCTACACATAAGTTTAAAATGAGATAATTAAGTTACATTACCATCAATTACTATTACGACCTGATTGCTCAGCCTCTATATGTAATCTTAGATGGAGGAGGGTTTAGCAGTTTTAAGGGCATATACAGTAGATGTATTAACCGAAAAATTCGCATTAAAGATAATATAACGACCGCATACACTATATACAGCGTAATAAATGCATTAGAGTTTCATAGAATAAATGTTTGTTAGTGATTAAATGGAAGCTGAAGAACACAATAAAAGCCTAGAGTAATAAACAATTACCTTAAATATAATAGAAATTCGCTTATACACTAATACTTAATCCATTACAAATACCTTTGATTATACTCACAACCCCTAAAGCCCCAGGATCGGATACCAACTGCTCAGCAAAAACAGTTTTGCTAACATAGCTGGCTCTTCCCAATGTGGCTGTCATATTCTTCGTCAATTCTGCTCCTTGCCGCGCTTTCGCATATGCTTCCTGAAGACTACTTTCTTGGAGAGTTTCGACGAACGGAATCAGCGCATCCATAAGTGTCCGGTGACCTCTCCGAGCAAGCGTATATTTATAGAGATCTTGCAATCCCTCTAGAAGAGCTTGTTTGAGTAGCTCTGGAACGCTTTTTGAAGTCGATGAGTCTGAGGATTTCGCCAGTGACGTCGATACAGCGTTAAGAAAAATAGCATAAATTGCCCCAGAGGTGCCCCCCATACCGCGCTCCGCTGCTGTTGCAGCTAGCCTGAAAATCTCATATAGTGTCATCTTAGGACCATGGTAACCGTTAAAGAGCCTTACAAGAGCTATGGATTGTCAGTTCTCCCACTATTTAGTAGCAAGATTTGAATGCATACCGTTGACACCGTTCAACAGAGTTTCTCCACAGTCTCCGTCTCCGGCTATTGTATCGTATTTGGTAATCAAGGGCTCATCCTCCACCGTAGACTTTTCAATAGCATCCACCACTTCCGCAACAACACCAATGTCTATTGCCACAAGATCATATCGGGAAGAATCGGAGGCAACATAATCCTCTACTCGCTCGTGAAGTACGCCCGAATGGTCCTTCATGGCAGGTAGCCTCACACATTGTGATCTCACGACGTCCGTCTTCCATATCGTATGAGGCCAAGCCGGCGCAGAGGTAGGTGCGTCTAGTAATTCCTCAATTTCGATGTCCAGTTCCAAGAGAGTTACTGAGAATCCAGGAGCGTCCAAACAAGTAAGAAATGATCCTACCATCAACTTCTTAATATTTAAACCTCTTTTTTGAAGCTGGGAAAGAACTTCATCAGCAATCACATTGAGCTCAAGCTGACTTAGGCCACCGAGGTTATTTATCATAAGCGCAAGGTCCATGTTAGCTGCCATATTCCATCCATTTGTTCGTTCAGCAAGTAAAATATTAATAACCTTCTCGATGCTTTCTTCAAGAGATGCAAGTACTTCACGCCGTACACCGGGCTCGTTGTGGATGCCTATAAGTGTTTACAATTAGTGCAACGCCAAGGATACGAGCCCAATTTCTACGTTACCCTTACCCATGCCGTACTCAACCTCGCCAAAAGGTAGTGACTCCTGGTTTTCTCTTCCTGGAACGCTACATCTGTCCAGACTTGCAGCAGCAGTAGCCATGCGATTTGCGGCCTTCTGTGCCACCCTCATAACTTCCTCGAGGACCACACTATTTCAAATTGTTAGAAAGTCAAAGTCAGAGGTCCTTTGTCAAATTCTTTATGAAACCTGCACTTACCCTTTCGTAGCTTTGGCGCCTGCCACCTTCAATACAAGCACTACACCTGCCAACCCCCTCTGTCCAACGAGGGAGTTCCCCTCAACAGAAACGTCCTCCCCCACGAAGACAACGCCTACGTTCCGTCCGTATTCCGCCTTGGCTTTCTCAGCCGCGAGTCCGAAGTTGAGTTTATCACCTGTATAGTTTTTCACAATCATCAGGTAGCCTGCCGAGGAATCCATGGCGAGTAGACCGGCTAGGATCTGCGATGCGGAGGGGGACGCGAAAACATGACCTGCGATTGCGATGTCGATCATTCCTTGGCCGAGATACCCTGCATAAGCAGGCTCGTGGCCTGAGCCGCCGCCGGCTACTAAGAGGACCTTGGGGAACGCTTCAGGGGCCCCTTGACGGTATAGGACTTGGAGTTTATCGTATTAGCGTTATGACAGTATTACCGGCAGCATATCTAGGTGTTATACGAACCTTTGTCTTCCGGCATCAGTCTCATGGATGCTTCGTGATATAAACTTATTCGCATGGCACGCTGGATGGGGTCGGCGACCTGATTGATGAAATGTTTTCCTTAATGGGTCAGCATTAGGAAGCATCAATTTTGACAAGACGGCACAAACCGAGCGACATTGCAGCTTTTCTTTTTCCTACGCGAACGAGAATGAACTCTCTATTGCAAGATATCTATGACAACCAATCGTTCTATAATCTTGTCGCATCAAGTCGTTTTAAGGCAAAGATCCTAGACAGAATATAGTATGCCACGGTTAGAATTTGAGTTGCACTTGTTCACTTACATAAAGAACGGCAACTTGACTTTTCCCAATCCTGGTACAATCGCATTTCAGGAGTACTCGTATACCCCTCCGAATTGGAAATAAACGCTGAAAATGCGCGATTCTCAGGGAATATGACAATGGAATCATCTATTTGCAAGATGCTTCCCCACCATCGGACAACCAGGAGTAGCGTAATGCGCCGGACAAAGTGGGTAATTTCGCAAATCAAAGCGGTTAAAATTACTGAATTGGGGCACCGAATTGTCATTCAAGCTTAATACTTGGCCGTCTATTATACCCGAATGATCCACATTAACAAAATTTGAATGCGTTCTCGTAGTGTGGTTCTCTGCTCCATCTAGACAGTCGAACGGCCAAATGTGATTATCGTTCCACTAGGATGGCGTCACAGCTGCCAAAGAGGGTACACACTGCCTATTCTAGATGTCACACGCACATACGAAACGTAAGTCATCTTTGGGCCAAATGTTCACTAGGCTTATTTGTTTCTAAGTACGTCAAGCTCTATATATCTACCCTAGGTCAAAACGTTCGGTATCTTTGTTTCTTTTATGACCAAGAGTCTCGATCTAAGAGTCTCGATCGGTTCTATACCATCCAAAACCTAACAACAGTGTCTATCCATTAGATCGATGCTAACTGGGGAGATATGACCGAGCGCCACCAATTGGCAGCTTACTTAGAATCGTTGGTAACAAAGAGGTTCCAAAACATCGTTCAGCCAAAGCTGCTAGGCCAAATTCTTTCCAGGGCCTGAAAGATGGTCGAGGGCTTGAATCTCGGCTGAGAGAGTCCTTGAAGGATGTTTTAGATTGCAGATCCTGCATCGTATTTCCCATCATGCCAGTGGTTCAACGTTCCAAACCATCATATCAAGGATAGAATGTTTTGCTCTATAACCAAGATACCTGCCTGTAATCCATAATATCTGGATCACATTATTAAGGCATCCATGGCGGTGCTATCCACGGCCAAGTGTGCCCCACGCCCAGTCTGATCGCTGAGCTTTCGAATTTCCTAGTAGGCCTAAACTTCAACCGCACTTCAGAACCAGCGAATGTGGATTTAGACAGGGCTAAGAGAACTAGTGTACTGCTATCAGGGAATTAGGGGTCGGAGCTACAGTAGTAAACACCGCGATACACCACTTCTATCAAGCTAGAGGCGCGATGATTGGTCAGCACTATAATCCTTGCCAAGTACGAGGCTTTTTTGCAAGGAGACCGTATAGTAACGCTGAAGTATGATATATATTATCAATATGAAGAATTAGGTCCTATATTTCAGTATTAGGTAGCTGCTTCCAAGGGGCAAACGTTTGAGTTCAGGTCAATGTTGACAGAGTAGTTAAATTATCATCAGGCAATATAGCTAAGCTAGTAAAAGAGCAAACAAAGTACAGTCTATATTGACAGCTGCCTACCTAAGTTACCTGTCTAAATATCTGTAGAGATGCAAACTCGTATATCTAGTTCGCTAGGCTATATCTTTGTATATTTTCGACACTTATCTTGAGGATTGTTAACCCTTTTTAATAATTTAATGTAAGAATGGTTGAATTATTGAAATAGTCCAATGTTCGTTCCTCTTGTTCAGGCAGTCTGACTTTGAACTGTAATTACCACCATGTAGGCTTATTGTAATAACTACATATACATGGCAAGTGGCAACACGATAACGCATGAACGTTGTACACTCTTTATTAACTTTAAGCGTCTGACTTACCCAACTGAACCTCATGACCCTGTGTCTCCACCTCAGTGATATAACTTTTAAATTGCCTCGCCGGAACCTTCTTAGTAAACATTTCGTCAAGCTCTTCGTACGATCGGCCCCTCGTTTCCGGTTGGTAGTACCACAGAAATGCGATGCAAGGGAAAGATAAAGCTCCGAAGACAAAGCCGACCTTGCCTCCGAGGTTTCCCTTATCCGGGTTGAACATGTACGGAAGGACAAAGCTCCACATGACTGAAATGGCGTTGGCGACCGCCAGGCCTATGGCGATGGTCTTAATCCGAAGGCGAGACGTCGCCACTTCCGTCAAGCAGGTATATGCAGTCGCGCCAATGGTGACATTGTATAAGAAACAGTACAACAGAATCATTGCCACCGTTCCTTTAAGGTCACCAGGAGAGCCTGCAACCGCGAGGCCACCCATGATCCAGAGGACAACAGTCAATATCACAGTTCCGTAAAGCGTCAGGTCGCGTCGACCAACCCGGTCGATTAAATCCCATGAGATTACATTTCCAATCATAGATAGGACTTGCTGAATGATCTGCAGCTTAAATGCCATATCTGTGCTGTATCCTGCCAGCTCCGAGTAGTATGTTGAATAGGAGGCAGCAAAATTAATTCCCGTAAACTGTTGGATCACTAGTGGCGCGATTGAAACCATTGTACGGCGAAAATTGGACTTCCTGAAACACTCTGCATATGTAACGCCTTCTGTCTCGTGGCGAATCTGCTCCAAGGTGATCTTGATATTGGCGATACGCTTTACGTCTTCTCCAGATTCCGCAGTATATCCGAGACGATGGAGGCTGTGAAGGGCCTTTTCCTCATGGCCCTTGCTCACAAGCCACCAAGGCGATCTTTAGAAAGGGTGTGTTAGCCAGTTTTGCAGTTACTAACATCTATTGCACGAAATGGGCACTTCTTTGTAAGCTAAGGAGAATGAGAGAATATTTAAGACTTACTCCGGCATGAAGAAGACAAAAGCAGCCGAAATAGCGGCGAACCCATATTGGGAACAGAAAACGGAACGATAAGCCCATCGATCATCTCTTTGGCCTTCCGCGTTCACGATCAGAGCCACGGTGAAGGGACCAACAGTGAACGACAGGGCAATTAAAGCAGTCATCAAGCCACGAAGGGCAAGTGGTACAACCTAAGCCGCATTATGTCAGCCTATGCAATGGTCCTTGTATTGCTCCCCTTTGGCAATATAGGGACGGCGGATACGGGTATCCCATGAACCTACCTCACCAACATAGGTACCTGCAACAGCCTGCAATGTGCCCACCGCAAATCCATTGAGAAACTTGCCGCCAAAAAAGATTTCATCTGTGGTGGCCAGGAGTTCCATAGTGATAGCTGCAAAAGAGATAAAAAGAGCAACGACGATGGTATACCGCCGGCCGATCCAGTCAGCAATTTGACCGCACGTTAGTGCTCCAATGACTTGTCTATTTTCCTGGTTACTTGGCTGCTCTTCGTTGCTAGGATTGTCATATCGAGAAATAGTTGCTTAGACCGACTTACGAAGCTACTGGTGCTCCGCTAAAGGCCGATTGCCACCTAGCGGAGAGAACGTAGTTGCCGTTATATAGAGTTCCAAAATCCTTCCGAAATTGGGGAATTCCCAGGATGTTGCCAGAGGCCTGGTTCTCAAAACTGACTAGAAGGACTGTCCAGACGGCATAGAGACACCAGAGGAAGGCCCAAGGATTCTTCATGATAGCCCGCCACTTGCCATCTTGGTGGTCTTCCCGGTTTGTTAGACTTGCAAGCTGATGCTGGCGGATATGGTCGAGTTGGACATGTTGTTGTTCAATATGACCATCAATATAGCCTTTCTCTGGCTGTGAACCTGCTTTCGCAGACGGAGAAAACATCGTAAAGCTAGTTGGAAAACAACGTGGATATGTGACAAAGTGGTGAAGGTGGGTATGGATGATGGTGGAGAATGCTGTGCAGTTCTACTCTGATATAAATAATCATCACAATTGCTACTAAGATGGGTGAAGTCACCCAGCGGTTAAGTTTCCCGGCTACCGTTGCTATGTTCTGTAGATGGCATGCGGAGGTACGCATGTAAAAATTCCCTGCTTTGGTGATGCGAACAGTACACCCGGGATGTGGAGTGCCCAGACATTGCCGGGTGCTTAATCTCTCCTTTCTGGGAAACTCGCCAAAGCCTACCCGGCTCCCCAGACTCCAACCCCACGGGGTTAGAATTCGAGACCAAAGCGGAGAACTAGCGCCTCAAACAGGGTTCTTCAAGCCACTGGAAATAAAGCCCCTCATAGAGTCAGTGTAGGAAATTTCGCCAATTAAAGATAGGTGCGCATGCGGCAGAGGTAAGAAAAAAGAGATAAAGGCAAATCGAATCTCTATCATAGAGTTGATGCAGCTTAGACTTTGATACAGAAGATCAAAATGTCCTTTGCTGTTAGACTACAGTCATTTAAGTCGAAGACCCGAGTCTTCATCATCTCCGACATCTCTAATGAACCAGATGATGCGGAGTCGCTTGTCAGATACCTCCTATATTCGAATCAGTTCCAAACCGAAGGCTTGGTTGCCTGTACATCAACATGGATGAGGACCAAAGTGTGTCCTCAGGATATGATCAAGATCATTGATGCATATGCTGGGGCTGTTGACAACCTTAATGCCCACGTACACCCAGATTTTCCTTACCCGACAGCTGAAAGTCTGAGGAATCTCGTGCGGTCAGGCCCACCTGTGCGCTTCCCCGTTTCCCACTGATTCATTGTTGAGACTAAACAAAAATCAGGTATACGGCTTTGCCGCCGTTGGTGACGATATTCCCTTAAGCGAAGGTGCCCAACTACTCCTCGAACGCATCATAACTCCGTCTAATGAGCCACTTTGGGTTCTTTGCTGGGGTGGGACAAACGTACTGGCGCAAGTGCTATGGAAAATCCGAACGCAATACACCGAAAGCGAAGCTGCGGGTCTACGAGCAAAGCTGCGCGTGTACACTATTTCAGACCAAGATGATACTGGAGCGTGGATCAGAGCGCAGTTTCCTGATATATTTTACATTTCATCTGTACACGCTTGGAACAATTACGGCATGGCGACTTGGACTGGCATATCTGGGGACAAATATTACCGGTTCGACCAAGGCGGCCCAGACTTCACAAAGGTTTCTGCGGAGTGGATTAAAGACAATATCCAGATCGGTCCTCTTGGTTCGGCATACCCAAACTTCATGTTTATTCCTGAAGGCGATACGCCCACTTTCCTCTACCTAGTTCAAAATGGACTCGGCGTACCTGAGCAACCCAGCTACGGCTCCTGGGGCGGCAGATACCAGATGATAGACATTAGCGATGCGGGACAACATGCGCGTCATTTTGGAGACTGTGCTGACACAGTTACTGGCCTAGACGGCCGCATTTACCGCTCGAATCAGGCGACAATATGGCGCTGGAGAGATGCTTTCCAGAACGACTTTGCCGCACGGATTCAATGGAGTCTAACAAGCGACCTAGAGGCAGTTAACCACCACCCAGTCACCTCCGTCAACGGGTTTCAGGGACCAGATCCCATTACGATCGAGGCTGAGGCAGGTTCTACACTCACTTTCGACGCAAGCGAGACGTACGATCCGGACTCGGGTGACAAACTGACATTTAAGTGGTGGCATTACTGTGACCCAAGTGCGACTCAATGGACAGTAGAATTCGAAGTTAGTGAACTGAAAATACGTCAGCTCAACGACAGTGGGACGGTGGTAGAAGTAAAACTTCCGGGACCGGAACAGTGCTGTGTGGAGCTCCTCAGTCGGAGGGCTATTGCACTAGGGAAGGCGCTGCACTTGATACTGGAAGTGAATGACAACGGTACCCCTGCATTAACAAGCTATCAGAGAATCATAATCCAGCCGACAAACAAAGACCTTCGAGGTGGAGGCGAACCATCTGAAGCGATATGCGATGTCATGCATAAACTACTTCCAAACTGAAGACTAAAGTTATCGCCTTTGTCGGTATCAGAAATTTCTGATCTGCAATGCTGTTTTGTGGAACTAGGAAGAAGCCCAAGCCTTGCACTTTGCACGACATGCTTGTTTGTAATAAAGCCTTTTGGCGGTAATTGAATGCTTTAACAAAGTTGGTCCCGAGTTCCAAATCACGGATTTTAATTATTGTTTGATACTCAATTTACAATTCAACAAACGAGTCAACATTCCATTATTGCCCGTCGTGAATGCTCTTATTTATTTAACGTATGAGACTAATCTGAATGCTACCTCGTACAAATAGCAATCATTGTAACTCATGATAGAGTCACCAAACTTGAGTAGGTCTATTTCTGATCTCCCACATAGTCCGCAGTGGCAATATCGTTTTTTTTTAGCCTAGAATAATCTTCCACCTCCAAGCTTCATACGACGTCTGCAGAGCAAGTTCATTTATCATTAAACGAGTTGACGTCAGTTAAAATCTATTGCTTCGTCTTGAGAAAATGCTTGAGCTTATATCTTCATCGCTGTGGTTTTACATGTTGAGGTTGAGAGGTGAAACAAAGAAGCCGAACTTGGAATTCTATACTTCCTGGCTGGCTTCCGGTTCTCATTATACTAGAACTCTTAATAATAGAACTTGCAATAGATGACAGATTATTTGATCCTTGATCAAATCTCCATTACGGCTAACAAATAGATATATTGCTTCAATTACAATCGATTCCTGCAGAGGCACATACTTTGCGCAATTCCATTATCTCTGGTGCTTTCTCATCAGATTTAGCCTTGCATAGTTTCGTGAGACGGTACTGCACGCATTTGGTACACACAGTTGATGAGTTTGGATTGTGCAGTCGATCTATCGCGTTACAAACTTGGTGAAAATTGCCAAGACGCCTTTGTGTAGCTTTCTGAAACTGTTGAGAGCTCTTTCTAAGCTGGCAAGGCTTAGGGAATTGGCCAAATTGAATTGCTGGCTATGATTTATTAATACTATTTGCACCTTCTCAAACTATGGAGCTAATGGAGTACAGAGAATGGAGAAAGCAGCACCACGAGACTGAGTTTAATAAGCCTGGTTAGAAATATTAATGCAGCTGCACAGGTTGGCAAAAGTAGGTCATAGTATGATGTTAAAGACAACGGGGCATTAATAACATGCAAAACTTTAACCTATAGCTTGTCTGATGAAACCAGGTCTAAACTGTTCAACAAATAGAGGCTGAACATCTTGTGAGTACCTGGGCTCATCTAGATCCTGGGCCGCTCTGCGACTGCGCATGCCACTATTATTTCTGTGCGGGTGGCTCCAATTGCCATCCCTGGAACAGTTGCCACTAATAAACTGCTAGCTGGCACACTATACAAAACCACTTTTCGGAGTAGTTGAAACAGCAATAAGTGCACACTGTGCTTAGCTGATGGCCAAGATATCCTCCATACGGCATCGACTACCAACATCGGCCCTTCTGGAAAACAACAATGTCTCTCTAGATGATTCTATGAGTGAAACCTTAGCAACTTGTTAGCCATAATTACCTTCCATCGAGCATGGAACTTAGGATATGTAATAGAATACTAGCTCCGGACGACATCTTTAAGGCTATGGGCATCTTCTACACTATTTCCTAATTAGGCAGTCATAACCACCTGAGCTTTGTTTACGACCGCCGGTATGGCTTGTGGGCATGATGTCGGACTAAAGTCGGCCTACCGAGAAGTTCACCTAGCCTGACTGGGGAGACATTCAAGGACCCTTCAAATAAGTATCTCGATTGCAGTGCTTCCTCAACAGTCAGCCCGAGATAGTGTCTCTCAATATTTTATGGAATTATTCCCTCTTATGCGACTGTGAAGCTAGATTCTGACTACTAGATGCTACTAGTAGCTTGTTACGATCCGGTCTTTCGTAATAACAATCTCTTATAAATAACTGGTTCCGTTACCATAAAACCATTGTGAGTGTTGGCCTGGTATTTTGCCTTGTTGGGTTTACAGTATAAGGAATTGTCAGACGTTGAGGCTCGAGGAGAAATGATGAGATCAAAGTGGAACTAGCTATGATAGCGCAGCTAGGTATGGAGGTTAAATTTAATATCAAGTTGAGAGGTTCAATGCTGTAACAGTTGGTTCAATAAAAGGCTATGCCCCACCCTTTGTGCAGCTAGGTATACAATAAAAAATATATTTATCTCTGATTGTGTTCAAAAAGAAAGAGACACTTCTTTCTTACATAGTTCTGCTCAAACCACAACTTCTAGTTTGAACCTTTTGCTCCTTTGTCACAAGGAAGCTCCTCAGTCTCTGACACAAATCATCAAGAGCTACACTTACTGAAAAAAGTTTTTTCTCCCTTCTGTTTCTTAAAATATTACCACTCCATGTCGTTGAAGAAAAACCGTTTGCGCTATTATGTGAATTGCTTAAAAGGAGTACATGAGAGTAACACCAAACGCTATAGGGTAGAAGCAGTTCATTTTTTAAAGTATACTTATAAATAAATATATGTCAGACGTCATGGCACAAAGAGAAGAGGGATGGGATCAAAGAGGTGGTTTATAGTTAACTAGCCACGAGACCACAGCAGCGAGGTATATAATAAGACTATATTTATCTGTGATCTTTTTCAACAAAGAAGGGGAAGTTTGTTGCTTCTTTGTAAGGATATTCCACTTGTAATGAACTGGGCCTTCTCAGCCCTCGCACCCTATGATAACTCTGTATTATATATTAGTAACCACTCCTACTTCTCGGTAATGCGATTCCAAGAGACAATTTATGACTCTTCCTATCGGCTCGCTAGGCTTGCGCCTTTATACACTATTAGACACGAACTGGCAGCCTCAACCTGGAATTTCTATACTTCGCAGAATGCAAATATTTCTGTCAGGGTACAGGTACAGGCAATCACGCTATCTGTGAGTTTAATAGGTTGTTGTTTACAGCCATTCATCCACTTAACCTCATAATTTGATCTCTATAAGTCCAGGTACAATGAGTACAACGAAGAGAATGTACCCACGATAATAAAGGGGAATGAGAAGCACTGAGAAAGAATCGCGGGGAATCCGAAAAGGGAGATTGAGGGAAGATGCCACGGTTAAGAAGCCGAGGTACTATTTTTTGCTGGCAATGATTAACAAACGGAGAGGGTAGGATAGGGAGAAGATAGTTACATCTCCACTGAGTATATTAAGCCGAGTGTTAACAACAAGTGTATCAAACTTTGTGTTTTCACTTTCTCTTGCACTATTTTGAATGTCCCACTGGTCGGGAGTCCCAGTCACAATAACATAATCGTCAAGTAATTCTTTAAAAATAACATGTCAAACGCTCATCAGTTATTAAAGAAGGCGTTGGGTAATGGAAACTAGTTTTGGACCTTTGAAGTTGCTTTAGTACGGTCACTACAATTACACGCATAAGTAGGATGCTTAATGGAGTGGCGTGGAACCTAATAATGAACTCTTATTTGTATCGGCCTTCGCCAAGTGAACAGGGCCATTCTGTGGGGTTGGTCTTATAGCTGCACACATCTTTGACGACTACGACACCATATCCTTGCGGCAACTTAAGCCATACAGGTCAGGTTTGTCGCTCGCCGAACCTCCATCCAGCTCGGCGCTCGTCCCCTCTTTCAGGCCTGTAGATGTTCTTTCATAATCACACAGATGTGAGACCGTAGGCGCTGTATTGAAGGACAACCCGCGCCGTGGCATCAAGATTCTCAGGAGCCTGGAAATCCAACAGGCGTAGTCTAGAACAGATCCACAGATACATTTATAGTCAGACATGCCAAAGGATGCTGGCGATAAGATTAAATTTTGCAGTCCGGTCGCTTTTCTATGCATGGATACGTGCACCATCTCACTGAAGCATCATGAGTCCAGTGCTTCAGGTAAGAAAGCACTGTTAAACCCACCAAGAGCACTCTACGCCAGTCGTACCTATGTCTGCAGCCTACATCTACCCGTTGGTCAAGAAAGGTGGAACCAATGGGCAACTGCTATATCCGAGCCTGGATCAGGAGCTACACAAAAGTTCCAAAAAGGAAAAAAGATTAACCTATACTATAAGGCCGATGTAACATCCTAAACTAGCGGCCAACAACAAACAACCAACAGCCAAGGCGAATGACGAACATCCTGTGAATATGTCGTTCGAATCTCGGGCTTGGTTGTAACAGTACTGTGGTACGTCACTTGATAGTGCAGCTTGCCCCGATCAAACGGCCTAACAAGCTCAACAGGACTCGCTTTTCGAGACGACTACGGACGGGGAGGGACATTGGTCTTCTGCAGCTATTCTAAGTAGTTAGGAGATATCCCGCGGGGCAACATGTGTAATTAAGAAAACATATTTTTTTAGCGGTACAATACATTCTTACATCGCTATAATAAGTCGCCGTAACTCACAGCGGAGCTAATGTCTCTCACCCCCCTTTTCTTGTCATAAAATATCACATAAATGCCTCGTGCACTCCATGCCACTTGGCAAAACGCCGTCATTCCATGTGAAGAATTCAGGACACATCCATCCTGAGCTTACTAGGGCCGGGAAATCTATGCAGCTTCGTTCAGCTTCCTAACCATCACGAAGAAGAAAAAGAAGAGCGATGAACGAAGATGGCGTTCATTTCGGACATTCAGCCTCCACCGAGCTTCGCGGCGACATTTAGTTCAATCTTTGAAGATGCGGAGAGGCTTGTTCAACACTCCCATCGACAGCAGGATGATATGGTTTAAGATGTCACGCCCCTAACAGCTACCTTCGCCAATGTTATGGAGCCTCTCGCCAGAATCGACAACAACTTTGCCCTTCAGTCTAACATCCTTAGTGTTTACCAGGATATTTCCGAGAATGACCAAATTCGTGAGGCCTCAAAAAAATCGCGGAAGTTATTTGATGCGTTTCGTACCCAGTCATTCATGCGCGAGGATGTTTTCGCACTTGTCAATGCAGTGCATGACGGCAGCGAGGGCCTTGATGCCGAATCCTCCCTCTTACTGAAGCTCACATATGACAGGCATATCCAAATGAGCGTAGGTCTACGTGATACTAAGCAGAAACAACGTTACAAGGAAATACAAGCACAGCTCGCTGAGATAAAACCAGCCTTTCGACAGAATCTCAATAGCGATAACAGTACAGTAGATTTCAACCTTGACGACCTGAAAGGTGTTCCTGATCGAATACTAGCTAAGCTGGATCCCAAAGGAGCTGCCCAGCATCAGTACCAAGTTACACTCTCAAACCCCAGCCATATGGAGATTATGGAACGCGCAACCAAAAGTGAGACTAGAAGACGTCTATTCATTGCTAGCCAGAATAGGTGTGTTGGAAATGGACCTCTCCTTAAAGAAGCTGCAATATTAAGATACGAATCTGCCAATTTACTGGGATTCCCAGACAACGCCGCTCGTCAAATTCAAGGGAGAATGGCCAAGATTCCAGATACAGTAAACAAATTTCTAGCCGAGTTATGCTCCAAATTAACACCAGCCGGACTCGCTTCTTTGAATGAGCTGGAATTTTTGAAGAGAGACGATGTTAGTCGCCAAGATGAGCTAGACCAGTATGACCACAGCTTTTTTATATGGGATTATCATTTCTACCATCGACTGATGTTAGAGCGGCACCTTGGAATTGATCGTCAGAAAATAAGGGAGTATTTCCCGCTGCAGACAACCATTGCCGGTATGTTGAGCATATTCGGATCTTTATTCCAACTGAAGTTCATAGAACTTAAGGGGGCCGATAAATCTTCCAACATGGTCTGGCATGAAGATACTCAGGTATTTCAAGTCCATGGTATCCAGAAACAGAGTAATCATTTCCATGGATATCTTTATCTTGATCTCTTTTATCGGCAAGGCAAATATCCTAACCCTGCATGTTTCAACCTCCAGCCGGTAATGCAATCGTCCATTGGTCGTGAGTTTCCATTTTCTGACCCAGTATAGGGATTTATTAAACAGGATGGCTCCCGCTATTGCCCGTCAGTTGCGCTCTTGTGTGATTTTTCTCAGCCAACATCAAGGAAACCATCTCTTCTCGGGCATTTCGAGATGGTAACCATGTTTCATGAATTGGGTCACTGTATGCATGACCTTCTCTCCAAGACTAGATATGCCCGCTTTCACGGTCCCGAGAGCGTCCCCGTAGACTTTGGCGAGGTTCCAAGTCAAATGCTTGAGAAATGGTGTTGGATACCGTCACAACTTAGGAAATTGAGCACACACTACTCATACGTGGACTCTGATATGCTTGAGCACTGGAAAACAGAGAACAAGGGTATTGGTCAACCGCAAAAGCACATGCCGGACGCCATGATAGACTCCCTCATTCGAGCCAGAAGCCTTACCTTTGGGCCTTTGTTTTATCTAGAGCAGCTACAGAGAAGCCTTTTTGATATAGCTATCAATCAAGTCTAGTTTGAAAGAAGCTGAATCACTGGACTCGCATTCATATGGAACAAGCTGCACAAGGATATTCGGCTGATAAGCGGTCCTGAAGCTCTTGGGAAGGGGTATACCTGGGGACATGGTTATGCCATATTTTCCCATTTAATGTCAACTGACTATGACGCTGGATATTACTCCTACCTATTGTGAGCTGATATAAGGCTATTTTAAGCCGCCACAAACATCAATATTATCTCATTATAGTTCACAGGTTTTTGCAGTGGACCTGTTCTACACCGAGTTCAAAGATGATCTGGCAAACATTGAGACGGCTCAAAGATATCCTCGTTGTATCCTTGAAAGAGGGGGTAGCCAAGATCATATGCAAGCTCTTATCGATTTCTTAGGCCGGCCACCCTCGGCGGAAGCTTTTGATGAGCATCTATTTGGATGCAGCACGGAATTATGAATGATGTATTCGTTATGTAATTAAAGTTAACTTGATTGTTAAATTCATAAAGAATATTGGCGGTTAACTAGCAACGGGTAAAAATACGCCTGGTGAGTTCACACATAACTTCTGTTCACGGGTAGCATTGCCTAGAATGTTTCTTGATCTTTGCTAACTCTAACTGATGTGATTGAATTTGTGCTTATAATCTCATCAACCAGGTGGTCATATTGGCCGTCGACGGTTGTGTCTGCGGTAATCACTTAGCCGCGGTTGGGAAGGAAGCACGTAAGAGAGAGTTTATGGATATCCGCCCTGATTACCTTGTATTCTAACTGCAATTGACTGTAACTCGCTTCTTCTGTGCTTTCTCGGGCACTCTACGTCATAGCTATCAGAAACGATAGTCCTCCATGCGTATGACAATATTGGATTGAGTAAAAAGGTAAGCGTAACTATGACTAGGCTGATGTAACTGTTATCAAATTATCAAAGGTGTGGGAAATGATGAAGAATGATCACACAGAATAAGAAAAAAATAGCCATCAGTCTAAAACCTAAGATTTTAAGAGCATAAGTCTTTTGTGTCCATCAGTCATAATACTTGATCAAGAACTATGTGTCATTATTTAAGATGAGTATTTACATCCCCTTCCACTATTCATTGCTAACTTTCAACTATAACGAGAAGCACGGAGAAGCGTGCTTGATAACGTCAGATCTATAGATTCCTGATGCAAATTGGAGGCAAGCGCATAAATAACATTCCTCATTTTAAAATTGAGGCCATACAAGTCATGGCTGTGTTTTGGTGAATTATATATTGACGGCTGGTACGTTCATAAGATTAGAGTTATTGACAAGCATCCAACAAAGCATGACTACCAATATTTTCGCAACAATGACAACAGCAATCACAAGGTGTTTACAACCTAAAGGCAGCCCACCGCTTCAAATAGCTGCTTCTTAGAATGACAATAACAATGAAAATGGCAATGGCAATGTGAAGCCAAACAACCAATGCGTAGGCGGATTTACACCCTTATAAGTACTACCATTGCTGTAGCAGCGGTTGCAGTATTATGCTGCGATAGGCATTTATTACTTTTATTTTACTTATATACGTAACAACTATAATTGTTAAATGCTGCCTTATTTCCTTTACTATTATACAACCATTCCTTTTATATGACCAGGGGACTTCTTTTATATATTTGAAGTATAATCCAGAACGTTATCTTAACCCCAGTATAATACGACGCTCTAGCTATATTTAAGTGCCTTTACAGATTTCTTGGCTACCGACTGTTAAAGGTCCTGTTAAAACACATGTTGGATCCCACTTCTTTTTTAGCGCAAGTAATGTGGGGTAGTTAGTGCCCCAGAAACGGGACGGGAAGTCCGGCTCTCGCTTGTTATCCTCATTATAGTAAGCATTAGTTCCGAAGACTTTATTAGCCTGTAGAGTGCGACTGTCTATAGTTGAGTTCTGGAACGCTGTTAATGGGCCATTATCTGCACTGCCATCAAAAATGGGGATATCCATATAGCCTAAGGAGGTTCTCCAAGCAGGGTTGACGGAGGTCTAACGTCGATAATAAGCAAAATACACTCCAAATCCACGAATCTTTGATTTCAGGATATAATGGTGACTTACGAAATTGGTACTTTTTGTATTAACAGACCCGCCACCAACTACACGCAGTAATGTTAGTCTTTCAAGTCATCAGAATTGTATCGATATTTTACATACCGCGCTGAAGAATAAATGGCTGAGTAGAGGGAAGACTAAGGATGAAGTCTGATATATTCTTTCGGCCAGACTCTGCACCCAAGAGATCCTTGTCAATGATACGACTGATAAGGCCAATGTTGATACCGACTCGATTTCCGGCATCAATCAATGGCTGCATAAGAGTGGCATAGGCCTCGAAGAACGTCGGAAACTGTTTCGCCGTTAAGCTAACAGTGACATTGGGGATGGAATTGAGAAACTCAAAGGCGGCCAGTGATGTGTTCGCTGACACTACCTGCTCCCCATATTGGAACCCTTTCTGGAATGTCATTGCCAGGGCAGGAAATATTGTCTCCCACAAGCCTGAACTAAAGGACTTCATGTAATTAGGATCTTGGGCCACAAACTGCGTGATTATCTCTTGGTACGAGGCTTCGTCCGCTGCGATAATCTCACCAGCGACTACATTCACTGCTTGGAAGGCTGCGTGGGCCTCAAGGTAGACCTTGGTAGCTATTGCAAAGACACCACCACCACCGCGCATTGCCCAGAAGAGGTCACTATTCACGCAGTCGTTGGCTACGGTGATAGTACCGTCTGTTAGCACCACATCATACTGCAGGACATTGTCTGCACCCATGCCGAAGAGAGGCTGCCATGGCCCAGCAGCTCCACCACCTTGTACGAAGCCACCATTGACACCAACGCTGCTAGAGTAACCGCCTGTGGTTATGATTCCCAGGCCGGCTGACACATTGTAAATGTCTCGGGCAACAACACCAGCGCCACCAGCGAGAACCGAGGTTCGGTGGACAGACTTGGGGCATCCATTTGGTATGAAGTCATCAATGAGCTCCAAACCCCGGAAGTTACTTGTGCGGATGGTGAATGCGCCGTGATCTGTGCTACGGCCAGTGTAGTCATGTCCCGTCTATCAAAGCTCCCATTAGTATGTTTACCTCTCTGCAGAGAGATGAATCCCATAGACAAAATGTCACTCACATTCTTAACGCGGAGACGTAAGTTATATTTGGCAGCGAACTTGACCGATGAGCTGATGTCCTCGGGAGTGGTGGCATTGACATAGTAAGAGGGGAGGCCACCAAGTGCGCAGGCTTCAGTAAGAGGCTCAGAAGGGACAGTATCGGGGATCAAACATCCATTGCCCTCCGAATCGAATTCGTTATTAACGAACATCATAGCTAATGGTAGTGTCTCACGGAAGCCAGCAATCCCCTTGTTCGCAACCAAATTTGAACAGGCTGCAGCTTCAAAACTGCCCTCATAGCAGACGCTTCCATATGGAGAGCTTTTAAACAGCTGTTCGCCGACAGAGGAGTTGAAAGACGCCAACTCATCCGCGTTAGGGAAGCATGATGAGCCAGCTGTGCAGTATGGGGCTGCCGCGTTTGTGCCCTCAATAAGCAGACCGAGCGAAGACAAGACCGAAAGAATAGTTTTCTTCATCGTGGGAAGAGCTGGTATTACTGGCAATAAACCCAGCAAACAAATTGGTTTCTGTATATAGAGACTATCAGACTCGGCATCACAGACCAGTAAATTTATAAAATCTCAACCTTATATACTAGACTAAACACTTATAAAAAGGTGAGAACCTTAGGCCAAACTAATTTAAGAAGATATGTTAATACTAGATTAATATCAGCTGACCGCATAACATGAGTGTTGCGGTGTGCGCAAGCAGGGTGAAAGTAATTAATGGGGCGGCTTATTATCAAGTATTACAAAAATGGGGCCTGTGCTGTATAGCCTATAACTCCAGGAGTATAACCTATCCTGACTATTTTGCTTTAAGTCATAGTACGACTTGATTATGTTGTGGCCTACGTACGTTAGAGTTAGGGGGTAGAGTTTGTAAATACAGGGATCTGATATAACTATTACGACCGAACATTCTGCAAGGCTAGGAAAGTATTTACCCTGGAGCAAATATTAACTTATTAACTGATTATAGAAGGGTTACTAATGTAATAAAATATTTCACACTAAACATCAAGCTAGCTTCTTATAGAAACGCTAATAGAATTAAAGTACATGCCAGAAAGACCAAGGGTAGAGTATTTACTGCAACCTCCCGCCCCCTAAAAAATACTCGCTTATGGAGTTGCTACAACACTCGTTCCTATCTTCACTTTTTTGCGCTGTCATTATTCTAGACATACAACAGATGGATAAGGCAACTTTGGGAAAGCTATATACCCCTCGTCGCCGAACTGGATGTCTAGAGTGTCGGAAGCGTCACATACGCTGTGATGAGGCACAGCCTACATGGTACGCTTATTCACTCGCGGCCGATCCCCAGTTATAACATGTCTCGCAAATGAAAAGCTAACCCAACCGGTATAAATAGTGGAAACTGTTTACGCTCAAGGGTGCGGAGAGTTTGCAAGTATACACCCACAATCCCTCTGCGTGACAGGAGGGCCGTGGACAAAGCATGCCGACCTTGGGAACAGTTGGCGTTCATGACGATCACAAAGACGGCCGGACACCCAGAAGCAGCATTTCTTCAGGAGACGATGGGTTTTATCATTCATGGAGCATCAGATCCCTTCCATTGTCTTGGCATAGAAATGCCATTTCAATCCAAGGAGCTTCTTCACTATTGTGAGTGGCACAAATATTAAATTGGGATTCGTGTAATTCATGAGTTTTTCGACTGGGGAATTACCGGCTAAGCTAATATATATAACCCAAAAGTTTGCCATATAGACCAAAGTATGAACTCTATATCACAAGATTGCACAACATCCAGGTGCGAGCTTATGGCTGTTATTCAGATCTCTTGCCTATTATTTCTAACATCGGGAAAGCTTCAGGTCTATGATGAACGACCCTCATGCCCTTCGCTTGACCCTTTTGATTGCTGCACTGCATTTTGAGTGGACAACTGGTAGTATGCAATCTTTCGAATCCACCTTCTTGTTCCACAAAGTCGAATTAATCCACATGGTCAACAAGTGGATCACGAACAGGCAGCCTCAACTCATGGCCTGCATTATCAGCCAGATAGCTTCACTCTGCTTCATCGAGGTAAGGCCAGAGAGCTAGAATGGAGGAAATTATACAGCAAAATCAAGCAATTGGCAAGATACAAGCTTCCCACTAATCCTTGCAGCTTTGTTTAGGTCACGTCATCAATGCCAGGGCCCACCTGGGCGGTATGTTGAGCCTCCTGAAAGAACGCAAACGACGCTGGCAGAGATCGCCGGAGCAAGTTGATGAAAATTCAGAAGACGAAGAGCTTAATGATCGATACTTCTTATTGTATGTCTTTACCGAAATGTATCCCCATCTTTATCTGCCCTGAATGCACAAATCGACACATCACCACTATGCTCGTACTTATGCTTCTATAGATTACATTCTCTCTTTACCCGAAACATGTGTAGACTACTTAACAGCATGCGCTTTAGCGACATTTCACAAACTTATTACGCTATACCTTCCGAGAAACTTCTGGCTTTGTCAAGTCGGTTAGACTGTGTGGAGAGGAATTGCGATCCCCAACTCAAGCTTGATGTCTTATTTTTAATGCCATTCCTTTCACGATCATCACAGACAGAAACAATGTCGCATTGGATCGATGGCACGGATACGGTTCGTGACCTGCGAGATCTGACAGACAGCCTCGACATGGTTCGATCGAAGCGAGGCTTCTCTGAACAAGAAAATGAGTTTGCCGCGGCATGTGCAAATGGTGTTGCATCAAAGCTGCACGTTGAATACGTTGCTTCGCATATTGCATCCGTCTCATCTTACGACGACAGACCGAAGGGGGGGAGAAAAATGACAACAAAGGCATTAAAAGTACTGAAGTCAACCTGGTGTGGCTTGTACAGCGCCACCAGCTTATATCTACACTACCTCCTTGGGCTTCAAAGTTGCTCGGAGAGGACTTTTGATGATTATGTTTTTCATATTTTGAGGGATGCTCTGATCAGTCACTTCACCAAGGATAAAGACTGCATGGCAGCGGATGGATGTCTACTGTTTTGGCAAATATTTCTCGGTGCAATTAGTATGGAGATCAGATTCCGACGAACCGCTTCAATACGTTCGGAATTCTATACCCTCGACTCATCTATGATAGAGTTTTTCGACAGAGGCATCCAACAGTGGAGTCAGGCTTGTCATATTAGACAGTGGGCTGATGCTAGAGCTGCCCTTCAGAAGATCGCATGGCCGATCATATACGCGGACGAACGAATAGCGATGGCGATTTGGGAACGAGCGTGTTATTCATAGTCTCAGCTCGTCGAGCAATAAATCTCTCACTCAAAACGATATTGTAATTCAATTGGCAGGTGGCTATGAAGCTAAATGAATGCAGGTGCAGGCTTGCGTCGTGTTGCAGTTGTGCAAGGGACCGAACGTATACACCGCCTTTACCCAGAAGTGGGCTGGTTCTCAAAGTTCGCTTATTCGTCTAGAATAGGCTTAGTATCTCATCTAATAGCGCACTCTTGTCCTATACGCATATTAGAAACTCCATTTTTGAGGACAAGATCCAGCACTCTGTGGGTTCTGAGGTCTGGGGTCGGCAGGCCCGTAGCTCCCAAATCTTTGTCTGAGATGCGGGGGTTTGTTCGGCCTCTAAATTTTGAGAAGGCTTTGTGCACGATCTTTACCACTATATAAAGGCTTTGCGGCCACGTCCAATCATTCATTCATGAAAATCAGACAATCTCGATCACTAGAGCAGAATCCTCTTTCTTCCATCCCTCAGCCGTTACCATGCCTTATCTCACGAAAGAGGAACTCGAAGCTATCTTTGCTAATCAACCACTTGCAAACGGTGGACCTTTTTGGACCCGCGTAGCAGAGGATGTCGATTGGACTATTATGGGCAGTGGCCCAGGCACTGGACGTTACACCAACCTTGCCGAACTTCGGGCCAACACAATTGAAAAGTTGATCAAAGCACTTCAAGGCCCACTGGAATTGAAGATGGTGAATGTTTACTTTGGAGGCGAGAATTACGAGTGGACAACAATGGAGCTAGAAGCTCGTAGCATTCGAAAATCCGGTTAGATCTTTGTCTCTTGAACCTCATTTGGAGGTAGGTGAGGCCTGTAAGATGTAACTAACCCTTACTAGGCAAAGAGTACTTCAACTGTTACGCTTTGGTAATGAAGTGGAACGATGAGGGTAAAGTGATTTCTGTCAGAGACTACCTTGACACTGCCCTCATTGAAGAGGTTTGGAAGGAAGCTGAGGCGATGGGACTATTTTAATATAGAACATTTTCAATCCGATTACTATCTTAACAACTGGCGATCTAAGCTATCTGAATGAGCGTAGAGAAGTAGACTTATATATTCAGTTGGGTTAGACGAGGTCGTTGTTAAGTCTTGCTGACTTAGGAGAACTTGGTTGTTATAAGTTGGGTTGGCTACATACGATTTGTTTCCGATCGGTTAGATTATCAAAGTTAATCCGAGGCCTACCTGCCCCATAAGCCCGTTTTTGAGTTACTCATTCAAATAAATTAAATAACTAGATATTAATACAGCACCAGCAATATAATTAAATTGAGTCTTAGAGATCTCTTAATTCTACAGCTACTAACTGCGCAATGCTTATATTACCCAATACCGACATTACCTTCCGCGAACATATACCTAGAACCTTAAGGTCTGTCTCTCAACAACAGCTAGTCTGTAGCACCCGTAGAAAACCAGTCCATTACAATGAAATATTAAGTTATAACGACTCTCTTATACTAAATATCCTTTTCATAATTTAGTCCCTTTTAGTAATTACAATTTCAAGAATAGGTATCACGCTATATACCTCTCACTTTTTATTAACATGGTGAGAGTTCCAGAGTGGTGGAAAGAACCGAGACGTTAAGACATGGATTATACTAGGATCAGTGAGAAAGCACAAAAGAAAGTCTGGGAGCAAATTAATGTTATTTTAGAACAGAGGAAACCAGGCATTTGAAAAACTGCAACACTGTGAAAGTTGTTTTAGTTTGTCGTAACGAACCCGGCCCTATATTTGCCAGCTATTGTGCAGCTTAGTATTCGTACGACGACAATATGGAGGGGTTGTCGCACTATCAATAAGTAGTCAAAAGTCCTCACACAACCCACCCAAAACGCACAGTGTTCCAAATTCGCAATAATAGCATAACTTTTCAATGTTATATTAAGAGCAAAGGACAGAGGGTTTTAATCCGGATTATCGGCTGTTTTACAGAGTAACTTTAAGTCACATAAACCAAGGTTTCCCTACTGTGGTTATAGTTAGGATAGCTTTACGCAACCTCAGAGAACCTCGAGTTCTCCTAGTTAGCTATACGATCTAGCTTAGTTAAATACCTAATAAAACCTCAATATTAAGAGCAAAGAGCCTATTATCATCTTAAATATAGTGAAATATATAGATATATGAGGCTTCCAAAGGCTGAGGCATAGCTTTTTATTTACCAGATGTTGGAACATTGCTGAACCTCTTATCTTGATATTGAATTTAATCTCTCAATATATGGTTTCGAAGAGTCTGTGGAATCTTCCAATATATCTCAGAAATCTGAATTCATAATTGTTATCTAGGTAGACACTTAGCTATATTCGATTCTCTATAGTATAACCCAAGTAGTTTTTAATCTCTCGGTGATTTTACTTAGTAATGTTACTAATCTCTGCGACGTTACTGATCTCGGAACATGTTCCGATATCTTACCAGATCACCGCAACGAGCTACGACTGGCTGCTGCCTCAATTCAGAAACCACCTTACTATACGGATCTATTGCCTTGCAATAAAGCAAAGCAAAAGAAGTAGCAATTACCCTTTCTTTTCTAATCAATGTTTGTCTTGGTACATTGGAAGAGTTAATAGTAAGTTTCTTTTTTAATGAAAAGCGAGAATTTTTGTAATCAGATCCCTAATCAAATATTAGTAATAACTCCTTTTGGGTATTCTCGCAAGTCAATTCCTTGTATTAACGAATGATAAATCGTTCCGTTAGTCTATAATCGCTTCGGAACAACTTTCAAGGTTTACCTCGCTGTAGTAAATATTATTAGTCTATTTATAATAACGCTGGGCTATGGCGTTTATTTCCTATGTATATGTAAGACAGCCATAGAAAGCATTACTTTGCTTAACAAACACCTGCAAATACAAAATCCTTAGTCCAGCCAGAATATCCCGCTGAAGCTAAGAGTACCACAGACACAAACACTCATCTCCACCAAGGACCGAAAATAAACTATGGCCACCCAATACAACAACAAAATGCATAGTATTTGGGACACAATCTCCCTCGAAGCATCTGCGAATTTTTGCGCAAAGATCTTGGCTCCGGGAGGCAAGTATGGGAAATTCTTTTCACCCAAGGATGTGAACAATATCTATGATGCTAGAATTCCTAGAGAAGATGCTGAGGTCAGCTACACCGCAGCTTACACGGCCCTCGGTGATCCTGTAGAGAAGCTTGGGGTGAGATTGGACGATAATACCGCCGACTTTGAGTTTCATAAGAAATGGATTACTGCCATTGAGCCCCTGCTAGCAGCTAAGAAGATCAAGACGCATCCATTGCAGATTCTCAGCGGCTTTGAGGGCATTCTATATGGGCTCGCAGCCGTCAAAAGTGGCACAATCAGTGGTTACAAGCTGGTATACACTATATAAATTGAGATGAGCATCAGTAACATTATCATATGGGACTTTCAATCGCACCAACGCGTATTCTTTAAGATGCAAAGCTGAATATTACTGGAGTTTGATTGTAGATCACCGCAGTGTGCCGCCAAATTACTACCATTTATGGGATACAATACTTATGCTTCAGGGTGCAGATACTTATCTCAAAGTCATGTTGCTTTCCTGACCCTTGGTAAATAGTTCGTTACATTTATAAAATAAAGTACCTGATTTTCGGTATATCCCTGGGCTTCTGGGCCCAACTTTAAGATAAAGTCTAAACAGTTGGATACTAAGAGTGGAACCAACGGGTAATCGAAAAGCAATTCATCTCCGAGGAGGTATCTTAAGCAAGCAAAACATACTGCAGAATACAAGTCAACGGATAACCGCGACATGTCGCCAAGGGCCAAGACTTGAGTAACCCGTACTCAGCCTTGATTTATGGAGTAACCTGAGCCCGTCAGCATAAGCTTAAATGAGGATGTTCCCTAACTGCTATGCATCTGGTATCCTTCGTATTCGAGTAAAGTCCTTATCGTGGTCGGTATTGACCGGAAAACCCCGGGCTGGCTGCAGATACCCGCCATGACTTAGCCTACCCCGAGTAGGCGTCCGGGCTATAAGTGAATCGGTGTGGGCTAAGGCAAAGTCTAGGCATTAAAAGTATAGTTGCGTAGTAAGCTTAAATCTAAGCCTAACGTGCTCACATTTTCCTAGGGTGGTAGCCATCTATAAAGGGAAGCAAATGACCTCCTTTCTGGATCTCAATGAAGCGCAGGCTTGTCACCACTTAAGATCTTTTCATCAGAAGAGCTTGGAGGTTCTCTATAGAACCGCAAACCATACAATGGCACACATTCATCTTATTGTGTGTCTCCTCTTGCAAATTACTTCGGTTGCGCTAGGTGTGAGCTCTCTCGATCATTCCACTGTCATGGCATGGCATGACAACAGAGATTCAAGGCTTGCGAGCAAATGGGCGCCGTATGTAATATCAGAAGCTCCATCCTAAGCCAATCTTGGGAAAACTAACACCACTTTGCAAAATCTACTTAGGATCTTTTATTTCTCCCAATCGCAGAGCAAAGTACCGTGCATTCCGGAGTGGGCCGTCCTCGATGATGGAGACGGGGCTCAGAACACTCCTGTGGATCGTTGTCAGTATCCAGATGTAGGCTGCAAATGCCGAAATCCTGGTGTTGGCATCAACAATGCCATATCTGGCTACTTCCCCACCTACTACACTTATTATAAGTGCACCGACACCCAGATTCGGATCCAGTACGCTCTTTACTATAGGAAAGACGGCTTCAAGGATGCAACTGTGGACTACGGACATGGGCAGTAAGATTCCAAGCAGATAATATTATTTCTGCCGCTATATCAACTAACATGTGACTACTTAGTGACTGGGAGTGGGTTATAGTGGACATACGGAAGTCAGGCAATTCGTGGGCCCCACTACGCTTGTGGATGAGCCAACATAGCGGCGGTCAATGGCTGAACTGGGGCGACATTCAGAATACATCAAAGTAAGAATACCTGGCCCAGCCCTCCCTGGCCTTTTGTCGATGGTAGGCTTGCTTGTTGATCGCTCTGAGTTAACACTGCGCAGTGACCCTGATGTCGGGCAGGGCCACCAAGGTTACAGAAATGAAGATCACCCTAAGGTCTATGCAGCATGGGCGAAGGTGAGAATCCCCCTTTTAGGGTATTTCAATTCAGCAACTAATGGTGTGCAGCACGGATTCTTCCACACGCGTAACACGGGCTACAACGACCCGGGGAGCCAGCTTGGTGGTGCCACTGGCAACAACTATCGTGGCCATGATTGGTGGTACTTTCCCCGTAAGGAATTTCCCCGACTTCGTTAACTCGTGGATTGGAAGAGAAAACCAAAGACTAACTCCGAATAAGGCCATTGGATTGACGCTCATCCGGATCAAAGCGCCAAAGGCAGGAGAATGAAGCCGATGAATTGGGGCTCGGCCACAAGCAACCCTGGTGCAAACCATTATCGCATGTGCAATGTATAGGCTGTTTAAGAAAGCATGCCATTGGCGTGCATAAACAGCTTGCATAATTCAATCCAGCACCATATGGCTACCTACTTCCATTCTGAACTGTGTCACTTTGTTTCTCAAAAAAACAAGGTTGGCACTGTGGACGATGCGGAAAATACAATATCATCCTACAAGAACTAGCTGCTTGATATTTCAAGATTACTTATTCGTTTAGTATACTTTAGATAAACCCTTAACCATGGTTCTTTTCCATAAGATTTGGTGTTGTTCCACAAGGTGCCATAGCAGCAAGCCATCCTGACATGCTCCTTGCTCCTCCCTTTATTACAGGGGCTTAGTATTTTGAGGGATCTTAAAAATATAGCGCCAGTATTCAACTAATTAACCATTACCGCAGGGCTTGTCTCGCATATGTTGACATGTTACAGTCAGGTGTTGTTGCGGATTGGCTCGAGCCTAACGTTTGCAGAAACCCAAATAGCTGAACCTGTCTGTTAATTGTGAATTAAGTTGAGCAAGCAATACTACAAAAGTATATCCCACGTGGCGGCGGCTGTGTCCTGGCTTCCTACGCTGTGACTGATCCGCGACTGCTAGCATATAGTGTCCAATTTCGCACTGCATATTTCGGCGAGCTGACTGCAGCGAGGGCCATCAGGAGGTCAAGCTGCCATACCGAGATGTCTTCTTACTCTGTTGAGGGAACGACCGGCCCCATTTATGTGATGGCAGGAAAACCTCAAGCGCGCTCATATAGTGGAAAAGGAACAAAGCTTCAGCACGAACGAGATCGCTGCACTCACTCTCAGCATTCGCTTCAGGGTTAATCACAACGCGTTTGAGAACTGCGTTCTTGAGCGGCTGTTGCTGAAATCTGGCCGCGGGAGCCTGACAATCTTGATACCATCCGAGGCTTCGGAGTCTTGAGAGTATGGTGGAATAAGGACATAGGGCAGGGTGAATTACTGCCACGCCGGGTTGGATGCAGATGTGCGAACTACTCGTTGTTGGGAAGCATTTTTGATTGAGCGATAGTATAGCTAATTGACTTAGACTCAATCTTCTGTATTTACTTATACTTTCTTATAGACATTGAGAGTACCATTCGCTGCTAACAGTACACTTATAAGGACTCTGTTATTTTGTTAGTAGTGTTTGCATAAGTAGTGTAAAATATGTGGCTACCTACCTCGCAAGTCGTAGGCCCAGTCCACCCTTGGCCTCCACATTGAGCCCAGTGCGCTGCTGTGCCTGAGCCTCCGCCGCTAGATCCGTCAGAGCTGTTTCCAGGGTTTGTAAGTGTTAGGACACCAGGTCGCCATGGTAAAGAATTGTAATCCCCACTGGACCCAATAGCCATGCCCTGGTAAAGTAATTGCAGGTTGCATGGGTCAATCGTCATAGTCTCATCATTTGTGCTGCGGATGAGGTCGCCAGAGCTAATATCATTAGTCCAGGAAGCACCACTATTGGCTTTCCCAGCAAAGGGGTTGCTCTCAGACGCAGCTTGTGATATCCATGAACCACTTAGGCTACTAGCAGTGAAGGAACGGAAATAGCGCCCCGCTGATCCTATACACTCAACAATCATAAGATATTGGTTCTGGCCATCGACTTTATAAACTTGTACTGCTTCAAAGAGGTCGTTGGTTGCGGCGGTCATAATCGTTGTGTAATTTGAACCAAAGCTTGCTGGAAATTGCGAATTAGGCATACTAGACCGATAAATATGGCCATTGTCTCCTGCAAAGAAAAGATATATATCTGTGCCATCGCTGATAAGAGCTGGGTCAATAGGGGCACCAGGACTAGATAAGCTTCCAGTAAACAAAGCCTGGGGTGAAGACCATCCATTCGGGTTAGTAGGGTCGCTAGATGTCATGTAGTTGAATGGGTATTGACCCCATTCCTGTGCCATCACCCAAATGTTCTTTGGGCGGAAGTAGAAGAGGTTAGGCGCAACAGCTCCATTATTCATAGCGTTCTGGCTTGCGGAATCCATGCTAGACCAATCTGAGAAGAGACCAAAATTCATTGAGCCGTAGCTTCCTGCTGAGTTGACTGTGGACGCATATACGAGATGTTTGCCGTTAAATGGAACGCTGCTGAAGTCTTTGATCGAAACCCAGCCCGACTTTGGGTCTGCCAGTGGACCTGTAGATGTCCATTTGAATGATGTTGGAAGAGCACACGAAGCCCTAGCTGCGGTTGCCAAGCTGAGTATCAAGATAGCAAGCGACAGCCAGTTATTGACTTCAGAGACTAAAGCTCTCATGGTGATATGTTTTCCTCGCAAAGAAAGTAAGAAAAGACTAACTGATGAGGTACTTGCTTCCCAGATATCTACGTGGAAGACTACTAGGATTTTATACCCTTATGCGAGGATCTCCTTGATGGCGAATACTACGGGCAGGCGAGGCAATACAGGTTTGGGGTTTGATTTGTTATACGTCACAGTGGATCAGTTAGATCCTACTATCGTGTGTTTGGAAAGCTACCAGTATAATTCTGAAATGAACTCCAGCTATCTAATATCATGCATACGGCATATCTTGTTCTGAGTAGCAAGCGGTGTGGATACAAGTACGGGAGATATGGCTCTACGCTTCTCGGCTAAAGGGATATATTATCCACCTTGAGGCGCCCCAATTACAAGCTCCGTCTTCTAAGACCACTCCAAAGTCAGCCGGCAGAATTCACAACCGTGACATTGTAAATTTAGGTATTATTGCCGGATACTGGGAGTTCAATCTGATTATAGCCGAAGACTGGGAATTCTTATGATATTTTTAGAGTAACTATTATAAAGGTCTACAATATTGGAAGTTATGAAATTACTAGGTTGGGTAAATCGGATATCAAGTTATTAGTTATTTGAAAACTGCTCCATTTAGAATTACTGATGCTTACAGACTACTAGAGGCTCTGAGGTTTATACCCTAGGTTTGGTTATATTAAGTTTTACAATAGGCATACTATTATAAGTTAACCTCTTATGGTCGCAACGGAAAGCACATGCCCTGGATTAAGAACAGACCGAGCAACCTATTATAATAAAGGCAACACAAATCGACCGTCGACCAGAAGCGACCTAGTATAAGTAGACACAAGCCGAACAAAACTATCAAGCTGGATATATAATTTTACTTCTCTACGCTCCTTCGGATAGTTGAATAACTAGTTGTAAATACAATATTCAGATTGAATCTACTTAATACTCTCTACTAGTTGCGTAACTATTTACATTAACTGAATACCTCATCCTAACCCTCGCCAACATAAACCAAAACCACGGTCTGTCCCTTGTAAATACGTACCTTTACTAAACTCTAGGTACACAGTTCGTCAAAGGGGCTTGCTTCCCTACCTCATTGATTATAATGAGGCTACGATTTTGCATAATGTAAGCAAAGAGATCGAAGCCTTACTTTACATTTTTGAGGGGGATAAGGAGCTACAGGAGTATCCTAACTATATGCTGGCACAATTGGATTATGCGTACCTGCTATATGACCATAAGAATAGCTGGGAAGAGACCGAAAAATATCCCCAGTTCTGTGTGCTTATCTGTCTGATAAGTATGTCTCCGTTGATAGACTTTTACAATAATACCAAAGGTACGGGGTACACACAATCACTCGAGAAGCCGTCTACTTTGCTCAGCAAGACTCCAGAGCGAAAGTATCGTGCGTGAAAGTTCCCAAAGAAGTTCATCAAGTCAAACTTTTGAACTCGAAAGCAAGTATGATGATGGGGAAACCAGCAAAGGCAGAGACCGGCTATAGCTCATTGATATTTACAAATTGATCCTCTAATCCGCCAGCCACTGTGACTGGCGTATTACTGAAACCTATAGTTAGGCTATTTTTAGCCGTTATTTCAACGCCAAGGTTAGCTAATTGTCATATAAAGAGACTTTCTGCCAAGTGTACATACCCCAAGGTAAAATCGAGCCGCAGCGATTGTGGCTAGACCGTGTGAAATGTGCTGTGGAACCCTGCACAGAGGTATTTCGTTACTGTTGTCCAGGCTCATGGGTCTGTGGATTGTGGGGGCCAGCGTAGAGAACATTGGACGTTGCATTACAGGGCGGAGGACAGTCGCCATGATGGCATTCAGCTATGCCGGGAGCAATTCCAACCAACCTTGGTAAAAGTTAACTAAAACAGAATAGACAGTAATAATTAGTGATGAATTGCTTGGCAATGGGCTATAAGGGGTCAATAATACCGGTTCATTATATCGGACGAGCTGGGCGGTGAAATGCTGTCCTGGATGTAGGGTTGCACCTATTAGAGGGGATCGAAAATCGACGCCTTGCATAACAGTGCCAGTAGCAAATAAAACCAACGAACATGGAATCTTCGTATTCGCGTTTTCTCAAAGGATGGTTCAAATAAGGAGGTACTAACCCTTGGAGCCTCAACAAGCCTCCGCTAGTCAATGATCAGTTTTCAGATTCCGTTTGTAAAGTCTGCGTTGGAGGAATGGAATGTTTCATGAAATAGAATATCCTCATGTGATCTTATCCTGCGGAGATGGCCTGTGCTGAAGATAGAATATCTTGGACATAATGTAACATACCCACAAATTACGTCGAATACATAGCCGATGATATTTGGGAGTAATGTGGCACGGAAGTTTAATTCCAAATGGGTTGCATATTATTTGCTCTGACTTACGCCGCTGCACCGCATCTGGAATAGGTATAAGAGCAGTAATGCCACTGAAAGTCTAAGTTGGGATTCGATGAGCTGCGACTTGTTATAAATTTGTCTAGATCTTTACAAGGACACAAGCTGAAACAAAGGTGGGTATTACCACCTGGACAATATCCTCCTCAGTTACTTATTTTATAGGCGACGGATTGTATATTATCGGCGGCAAGTAACTAGGGCCTTGCAAATTATACCTCAAACCCACATACTTGCCTACTTGTGCAGCCAAAAGCTGAATACTTAAATCAACCGGCGAGTTCCGCTTTTCCGCCTATTCTATCGTGGGGGTGGTGAGATTATTCAGGCCGACGCTTTATCTTCTCCATTACAAGGTATATAATTAATCCTTTGGAAACGGCTAAATCAACCTTAAAGTTACAAAGGCTTTTCCATTCAACATAATGAACGCGCTCCCACTATCTTGCATCCCTTCCACCCCTCCTCGGCAATACTCTGATCTTTATGAGATACCTTTATGTGTTTAAAAGGTGTAATCAAATGCCTGTTGTTGATTACGTAGAGTATTTCTGGTGCCGGTATGTATTTTGTTGTACTTTTTTATATATAATAGGCCGTTTCCTAAGGGTAGGCTTTGTGGAATGTGCCCAGTTTGACAAGATTTACATTGACTGTGTTTGGCTCTCGGTTGGCTAAAGATGGACCGTCTGTGACTTGGTTAGGTCTATAGCTACCACTTGATGGAGCTTGGGTGAAGCAGGTTCTAAAACTTTCACAACTATCAAATATGCGACTAGCTACTCCGTGCGATTTAAATTGACAGTTGGCTGGTTCTTGGATGCCAAAGGGGAATTGGCTTAAGGAAAAAGGAAAACCTTGATGGTTGTGGCTTCTTTTGAAGGCTTGAGACGTTGGAGTTAGCTTTCAGCCGCACCCGATTATCCGTTGCCATGAACTCTTCCACACATTTCTATATCTATTTCCGATATCACCCAATTTCGCTTTTATCTATAAAGGCTTCACGTTCGCTCCTGTATTTACATAAAGTGCGGAATTCCTCATACGACTTATGTATCTTTATATAACAACGTAAGCCCTACAATACTTCAATACCTAGTGTTGCATAGTCAATAATCAAAGACCAGCTGTGCCGAGGCAGAAAAGGTATAAATTTCATCCTAGTTCTTGGAAGTATCAACCATTTCTGGCTTCCTAAGTATTAATACACCTTCAATTATAGAATTTCTACCAAATGCGGCATTTGTCATCCTGTCTAATCCCTACCTACACATGGCGCAAGCGCAAAAGTTCCACGACTTCGTCCTCTGGAATGAGTTCACGCTCAACTTTACCGTCCTTCCCGATCAACCGCTGAGATTTCTTCAAAATGGAAGCGACAACGTAGACACTGTCGGCTTGTGCCTTGCCGGCAATTCTACCTTGCCCGATTACTTTCGATTGGTTCCCATTGATTCTTCAGATGCGAGCAAGGGCTACTATTTGTGGTCAGGCTCACTGTATGTCAGCAAGTATGTTGACACCGTCCGAGGGCAAGATTGTGTGCTGGGAAAGCCAGATATCAAAGATGCCTTAATCTGGTATCCGACATTCTTATCAGGGTCCACTTTCACCTTGGGGTCTCCAGGTTACATCAATCCTCGGCATCCTGGAACCCCGGTGCCGAATCCATTGCTATCATGCTCAACCACTACCGCCACAACACAGGTTGGTAATACAGGTGTCCCTGACCAATCCACCTTGCAAATACCAACTACTGGCCGTACCATTGCCAAAATACGAGCTCTACACCGTGACTGGCACAACCTTTTTCAAGCCATCAAGTTCCCGCTGAATCTTGTAGACGGAACTTCGCTGCGATTTGATGTCAATCCGCCAACCGATCCCATCCAACAGACATTCCTCACCCCGGAAGGAGACGGCACTCTTCTATTCCAGTTTGTGGCGTTGGACCCAAACGATTTCAGGCAAGGCTATTACCTGACTTCGTCTGACAGGTATGTCTCGTGGAAGTACAGCGCTTTTCTGCATGATGGGATCCACCGTGATTGTATCAGGATTACAGACAATACTGGCCATGCGCCACCGTTCTTGCCACGGATCCTGTCTGATTCGACCTTTATGCTGCAAGACAAGAATCATTGGGGGGACTGCTTGACACAGCCCAAAAGCGAGGATGGATCACAGGACTTGGATGTCGTGGTATACCTTCCTATCGGGTTTAGGGAAGGTCTCGGACCCATTCACCGAATCTTTAAACTACCGACCTGGGCCATGAGAATGATGCGGATGATGTACTTTCCTGAGTCTACACCGATCAACCTTGGAATTCCAGGGCTAAACAGCTTTGTGCAGGCGTCGGGAAATATGTCACTGAAATGCTTGCCGCGGGCGTCTGCTACTGGTCCATCCATCATTTCGCTCCAGCCCCAAAACAGTGCAATGGCCTTCTCGGGCTATATCATGACTGTGCAAGGCAACCTCTATGTCAAATTTGTCCAAGGGGAGCAAACCACCATACTCACAGACCAAATTTCACAAGCTACTCCGCTTTGTCTTGTCGGGCACAATGACGGCACAATATCTTTCTGGAATTGTATGTCCAACCACGTTATCAGCACTACCACGATTGGCAGCGACACTGTTGTTGTATTCAAAGAACTTGATGACCTGTCAGTATTGGAGCCTCGCTGGTCTGTCGGGTCTCCAGTAACCCCTTCTTCCGTATCACGTCTTGACATTGGGGGTCCAAACGATACGTTCCACGTGCGACCGATTCTTGATGTCCTCAACCACGAATACTATTCCAAGAAGGGCAGGACGTGGAATGTTTCATACAACAACTCTTTGACGCCCGACTGGGTCATAACAACTCCTAACCATCCTTTTGCGAGTTATAGTGACTTCGAAATGCCCATCGCGGATACTGTAGAGCATAACGGTTTCTTTCTTAAGCCGTTCGTCTCAGGAGAGCCCATCGACCCACGACATCCAGCAGTCGATATTGCTTCAAGCGTCCAAAGTCCAGGAAACTCCCCTTTAAAATTGCACGCCGGGCATTCTCGGCGAATCTATGAAGAGATGTACAATATGATAACCTCCGGCACCAAGTTCGTGGACATCATGTCAATGCTTATGCAAAACGATACTCCGACCGGCCAGTTCAAGGCTGCCGTCCGAAATGCCATCACGTATCTCAGCAACAAGCCCGGAGCAGAGCATTTGAAGATGCGCATCATGTTCGGCGCACCCTTGACCTTTGTCGGGAATCTCGACTACCCTTCAGAGGCACCCGGTCCCTTCCGCGCAGCTGATGTACTTCTCTCAGACCTGACGAGAGATATCACCAATGCGAACTGTCAAATGACCATCTATGTCGGATATTCGTGTTGGGACAGCCCTTTTACTTGGAATCATGCCAAAATTATTGCTGTTGACGGGTCAAGCGCCATGACAGGTGGTCACAACATGTGGTATCATGCTTACCTGGGTCAAAACCCCCGGTTCGATGCCACAATGAAACTGTCAGGCCTAGCTGCAGAAGATGCTCACCTCTTCGCGGAAACAGTCTGGAATGCGAGCATTCAGAAGCCGTACAGCATTCCCTTCAACCCTACCGACCCTGGGAGCGAAGCTAGCCCAAGCTTCGTCTCGGGAGCAGCAATGCTGCCCAACAGGCGGTATGTGACGCAGGCGGCTGCAAATCCGCCATCGCGTCTCTATAGTGCAACCATACCAGTCTCTCCCTCCGACCCGGCTCGTATGTCCGGCTCTGGGGTCCCTGTTTTGTCAGTTGCTCGTATGCTCGATGACGCACCAGGCGCTGCCCCTGGAGACAAAGCACTGGTTGCGCTCCTAGACTCGGCTACATCAACAATCTACATCTCGGGACAAGGTCTGAAGGACCATACCTTTGAGCTTGTCCGCAACTATTGGATCGACGATTTCATGTCTGCAATAGGCCGGGCGCTCAAGCGCGGCGTCCAGGTCAAGATTTTTTTGTCGAGCATAGATGCTGGGTCTTACGCGGGTGACCAACCTACCGTTGTGATTGAGAAAATCGGCAACGGGTTGAGCGGAATGACTCCTGGTGCAGCGAGGGTTGTGTTGCAGAGGTTGTCGGTGCAGTCTTTCCCTTCATCCTCCAGATGGGGTCTGAACCCTAATATCGACGGGCAAAGAGGCATCGGCAATCACGCCAAGCTGATTTGCGTCGATTCTCGAGCTGTCAGTATCGGATCACAGAACTTTTATCCCTCGTGGCCAGCGCAGCTGTCCGAGTTTACCTACATCTTCGAGAGTCAAACACAGGCTCAACAGCTCATGGACAGTTATTTTACCCCACTTGCTGCATGGTGTGACCTGTCGCCGACTGGTGTGTCAGTGACTCCAGTAACCGTCTTCTACACTGTGACAATAGCCACATTGGTCTGTAAGTTCACGTCCGAATCGACAGTAGACCAGGTGTATCTGGCAGTCAACGATATTCAGATCTGGCCTACAAATGCGACATACAAGGAAATGGTAGAGAATCAAGTTGAACAACTTAGTGTTGATCTTCAGACTTTCACTGGCAACGACGAAGACGTCGTTGTTTCAATTTACGACTATGATTTCATCACTGCAGATGATCGGCTGAAAGAGTTCCGATTCAACAAGGACGTCCTGGATGGGACGAGACCAGGAGATATTACACGCATGGATGGGACCGATGTCGGGGGCGAAGGAGGTTCATATTCGATTACATGGTCGTATAGTATAACAACGATCGGTTAGTTACAAGGTTATGCCGGTAAGGAGGCATTGGGCTTAGGTAATATTTGTGTGTAAATTAATCAGGACGCAGAGTATTCCAATTTGATTCCTAGGCAAAAGTTCGAAAATATATCTTAACGTTAGCCCTGCTATTGTAGTTTCTTAACAGCTAGTGAATATACCTTTGAATTGGCTTAACTAATGCTAAAACACTGTATTAGAAACCTAGCTTATTTAACTGCTGTAATATTAGGTTAGCTGTTCCCAATGCACAAACCAGCAGTACCAGTGTATGTTGGCGGATGGTCATGTCAGTGGACGGGCAATCTTGTCACTAGCGAGTAGAGGCACAGAAAGCATAACCTTTATTAAGATAAAGAACCCAGTTGTTTCTCACGACCATTTGGAAGTGACGCGGAAAGCTAAAGTGGTCAATGAATCAAGGCGTACAACATTGATTGTCGTCAATGAGTCCCTTGCACCCTAGATCAGCTTATTAGGCACCCCCCGTGGCTTAACAGGCTGCGAATCTCTCTCTTGCTCTCTATTTTTGCGATTCTGACCTCCTCCAATTAACGTTGTCTTCAATTTGGTCTCTTGCTGATGTTTTTTCTCTAGTTCGATTTCTTCTTTATAACAGAGTTCCTGGCGGCTATTTCCGCTTTCTTTATAATCGCTTCTTCTTGAGCTCGCTGAGCTAAGGAAAGCAGAAATAGCCACCAGGAACTCAATGAGAAAATATTGACAAGAGGTCGAGGTAAAGAAAAAACATGAAGAAGAAGAGACCGCATAAAAGGACAAAACGTCAATTGGAGGAGGTCGGAATCGCAGAAATAGAGAGAAAAAACGAGAGGTTACATATTTTAGAGTAACAAACTTTAAAGCAGCAATTTATATACTAATTGTAGGTTGCTGTTATATCTTAACCTTTTGTAAAATAAAGAAAATATGTACTTTGGAATAAGTTATTATTACGTTCCGTTATACTATAGCGCGAACAGGGCGCCCTCCACAGGAAGGCAAGACTACTCCGTAGGTCACAGCATATTATAAAACCGATCAATATTTACAGGTATCATGCACGGAGCCAGAGTATAGGTATCAAACTGTCCTTTTGATCCAAGGTATTGAACTCAAACACTCTCCAAAGAAGATTGAAGAGGAAGTCAAGGAAATTCCCCGAGACCAACGGCAGGGCCGATTTCAGACCGCTCAGCAGGGATCTTATGGGTATGTACCCAACTTGGCGCCACAGCTCGCAACAGTTGGTCTTCAGGTTTCGTTCGTGCAGCCGTGGTTGTTGGAATGCCCACATGCACAAACATTGATCTCAACCCTCGATCCAGATGCCCATACTGGATTTTCCATCGCATTGAACAGTCACAGCTCAATTGATATCAACGTGGGGACTGATCGCAGAATCGAAATCCTCAGCACTGGAATTAAACTCCAGCAAAAAGACGTGGTCGAAAATAAAATTCATATTTAACGGCCCTTTAGTCGAATTGAGTTTGACGCCTAAATCCTTTAGAGTTGAACCAGTCCACCCTGCGTCGGCATTTGAATTGCAGTTGGATGGTGAGGCGCTGGTTTACATTGCCGCAACCCAGCAGAGTGTTGCTGACAACACTCAATATGGCCTGAGATCGCATGTTACGGACTTCTTCAACGGCCGCATCGATAGTTTAACGCTCAAGACTTGTGGCCAACAACCTTTGGCCTTCGCTAAATATGACTTCTCCTTGGAAATGTCGAGTGACCGCATCCTAGACATCTCTGGACGCGGGCAACATGGTGTCTTAATTAAAGCGCCAACTCGTGCTGTCAAAGGTTATGACTTGGACGGATCTGAGTGTGACTAGATGCGAGCCCAGTTTGGCTAAGGTGCGGTTTATTTCCATGACGACGACCTAGATGATGCAAAATGGGAGACGGACTTTATCATCACAATCCCTCCCAATGCTCGTTCTGGCGCTTATGCGGTCGAGGTGGAGACAAGCAACAGTCAAGACACAGATTCAATCACGTTCTTTGTTCGGCCAACCCGCTGGATATCAGATAATTCCAACAAGGTCAGTCTTGTCTTCTCTACATTTACGTACCTCGCATATACCTATGAACGTCTATATGATATAATCCGCCAGATCTTGGACCGGGCTTCCATATTAAAAAGTGTTAAAAAGTCCCGAGTTTTACAAAATGCGTCGCCGAGTTGATCTTGGTCTGTCCTGCTATGACCGCCATAACGATGGGTCGGGGGTTTGTTTCTCTTCATCAAAACGACCAATTTTGAATGTACGCCCGGGCTATATAATATGGGCATTTTCTCGCCCACGCGAATTCTCCGCTGATCTCATGATGATCGGGTTTCTAGAGCAGGAGGGTATTCCGTACGAGATTCTGACTGATCATGACCTGCACGCTCGTGGAGCTGGCACTCTCCAAGGTTTCAATACTGTGCTCACGGGCTGTCATCCCGAGTACCCAAGTCTTGAATCTTTCAGTGCCTATAACGCTTCTGCAAAAGGAGGAGGCAATCTCATGTACGTGGGGGGCAATGGCTTTTATTGGGTAAGTGGACACAACGTTAATCGACCACATCGATTAGGGGTGCGTCGTGGAGATAGTGGGGTGCGTCCATATAGCCTCCCCCGTGGAGAGCACATTCACAGCCTCGACGGCCAACGAGGTGGTTTGTGGAGATCTCGGGGAATGAGCTGCAACACGTTATTTGGGGTAGGTTTCTGCACGCAGGGTTATTTTTACTCTTCTGCAACACCCTTCGAATACTATACTGTACTGTACTTTATCTCCAATGTACTCAAAATATAAAAACTTACTTTATTATAATTATATAAAGTAATAATCTATTGGCACTAATAGAAAACTTCAGTACCTGTAGCTCCGCGTAGTAAATTTGTTCTCGGTTATATACTAGAGTAGATAGCTATGCCTTGCCAGCCTTTCCTAGCTCCTATAGCACTCAGGTCGAGATTTTGGATTATTTTGGGGGGATTGGCGCCCAAGTCAACCACAGCAATGCTTGCAACATTGGTAAGGCTATATAAAAACGTTCGATCGGATGCGCTGTCGAAAACTCCAACATCACTTGCTGGCAAAGTAATTGTGCCAGTTACAGAACCCGTGCCGGGATCCACAACGGTGATGTTGGTGATACTTGCGGTGATGATATATGCACTACTGAGCTCTGACACATATACTCCCCAGCAAGCGAGCCCCTCGTTCGACGGAAGCACAATTGCGTCCTTCACCGTAACCTGCAAGCTGGAAGACACCGAGAGAATATAGCCTACTCCGGCAGCATCTGTAAGCAGAATTGAGTCATCTGCCCCCAAAAATGTGAGGCTAAAATCCAAAATGACACCTGACGGTTGCGAAATAGTCGCAATTGTGGAAACTGTTTTTCCAACTACCGGCCACGCATAGATTGAACCAAGGGTTGGACTCGCTCCTACAGAAGAAGGAGGGGCGCCTTTCGTAGAGACAAAAAGACCTGTTGAAGAAGGATTGAACATAATATCTGACGCGGTGAGGATAGGGCCCCCTGGTGGCGTGGTTTGATTAAAGGCTTGGGCGATAGAACGAAGGCTGCTGTCCAAGGCTATCAGGCCACGAGATGCGTCAACTGAGAAGCAGGCGACTCCAGCCCTTGTTCCACCATTGAGAACGCAAGCTACAACGTGTTAATCTTTATTTTAGCCTATCCAATGTTATATATACATACCGATGTCAAGTTTCTCTGAGTAGGTTACTGAGATTGGGAAATCGCCCAATGTACCGGCAGGTTTACCAACGAGGCCGAGGTACTGAGGGTTGTTGGGATCGATCTTGAACATGGAAAGCGTATTACTTCCAGCATTAACAACAAAAAGAAAGTTTCCAGATACGACAACCGCGTTCGCAGAAAATAGGCTATCTGGTCCTGCAAACCCAGTGTTATCAGGTGGAGGAGGGTTTGGAATAATCCATTTCGCCCATGAACCATCTCCGCCAGTAAGCGTTCTCACAGGATTAGAAAGAGTTCCATTGCTTGAAATTTTCAAAGACACAATCGAGGCACCACTTGGGTTGTTATCAAGGAAATAAGCAGCGCGTTGTGCTGAGTTTGCATCCAAATTTGACTCAGAATCGGGAAGGCATGACGCCAAAGAAAGCGTCAGCCAACAAGTGACAAGCGAGGAAAAACGCATTGTTTAAAGAAAAGGTTTTTCTTAGGGTTAATGGGATAATATATAAAGAATTCTCTTGCTATGGCGCTGTTTTTGTTAATATTCCAGTAAATGTTTGATGAGGCGTAGGGCTATTTATACATACGTTGCCTGATGAATATGTTGATGTCATAGCCATGCCACCAATGTTATGGCGGTGAACACTTTGCGGATAATCTTGAGTATCAGAGCAACAGCATCGGCAGTTGTCTTTTGCCTAATAACAAGCTATACTTTTAGTCATATTTGCGTTATATTATCATTTATGTTTAGAATTTAGGTCCTTAATTTAAATATAGCATATACTTCTATTTTTGTATTAGAAACAACTGTTAGTATAAAGCATAGAATGGAAGTTGGAATCCCGTAATATCTTATGCCTTTAGTTACTACCTAGGGCTGGATTTATTTATGACAGGCCTGGGTAAAACAATCAGCAGAGAATTTTACTAAATTAAACTGCTGTTATAAAATAACCTCGAGGGTATATAGCAGCGTAGTATAAGATAGTTAGCTTTTAAGCATTGATCAAATACTAAAATATATACTATTTGCAATACCATTGAAGATATATAAATTAAAACTGACTGATCGTAGTTTATAACATAAGTATAGTTGGACAGGATTAAGAACATTGAAATCTTGAATTATTAGTTGCTTTATAATTATAAAGAATACTAGTATTTTTTCTGCCTTGCAGAACAAAAGATATACTATACAATAACGGGGATTTACGGAAATATATAAGGAATTTCCACTTTGATATGGAATCAGTAAAATTACGTGAGTAAGTTTACATATATATAGGGCGTGAAGAGTGCATATATAAAGTGGAGACAACGTGAGAGCTGCCTATCTTGGAATAGGTTTCAGTAAGTGCAAATTTCCTTGGCTAACTTGCTAAGCGGAGACCACAAAAAGAGGGACTGCAAAATAAATCCACGTATGAAAAAGTAAAATAAAAGTATCTTTTCTATCCAAACCCAGTTATCTTCCCTTCTAATTCTAATACAGCTTCAAACCGGTCCAGTATTATATCTATATAACTATGTATGATCTCCTAATTGAGATTTTCCCAAGCTTCCTTTATATTAAGAAATAAGCTTTCCCAATTGTTATATTTTAGGCTTTCTATTAGTATAGTAGGTATGTGCTATACATTTTTAATTAGTAAGAGATCTAAAAGCTGCCTAGGGCATTATAAAGATAACAGATACCTAACTTTTGTTTACATTACTTTATCACTGGCGCTGTGTCACTGGAATCGCAGTCTTCTTCTCATCTGAGCACTAGGTCCGTCAGACCCGCTAGAGTCAGACCTGCATTTACGACATGTCTTCTAAACAAAGGAAAAGGAGTTTCAATGTGTCACCGCGTGTTTGTTATTCTGGCGGGTTAGAGATCTACTCCTGGGTGATTTTAGCCATGACTTCAAAAACAATCTTCACGAATACCAGATCTTAATGAATAACATAGGGAAGATAGCTTTAATTTATGATTGTAACTATATTCTTAAGAAGGCAGTTGAGCTATAGTAAGACTAAGGGATAGACTTTATTCTAGGACTTTGTAACTAGCTTACGTAGTAGCCGCCAACAACAAAACAAACAAACAAAAAAATCCCAAGATGGATGTTAAAACACTTCTTTTTAAGACTTGGGCTCAGCTGCTTGTAAAAACATTATCTCTTGCCTAGCTTTTGGAAGACATAGACTTAGCAATCATTACTATAAAAAGCATGCCATATATTGGACTAAATAATATTGGACTAGTCTTCTTGAGCTAGCTTGATTTTAAGAGACTTGCAAGCAAATTTCTTGCATTTCTTAGTGATTAGATAAGAATGGAAGGCCCTAGGGTAAGTAATGCACTTCTGCTATTGCTGCGTTCCTAGGACACGCCAGCCTTTGTGCTAGTGGGCTTTCTTGCTGATGCTTGCTCCCGAAAAAAATGGGAATAAGTCAAATAATAAGCCTCGAAGCCTTCTGACTAAAGCAGACCTTCTAAGTTATCTGGGTATTTGTCAGTAAGGATTTTCTTCCGGCCGCAAGTTTTCTTACAAGCGTTGTGAAGTTTTCCATTAAATGACTTAAGTATCTTATAGCCATAGGTCCTGCTGACTTGGTAGTCTTGGAATATATCCGGATAGCTGAAGTCGTAGCCAAATCGTTGTTTTTGCAGCTGCGCAAACGCAACAGCGCCCTTGACTCGAGCCTTCTTTAGAGTATTGTGATGATAGTAGTGAATTTTATCTTGTTGTGCTACAGTGTAAGCTTTGTTAGCACGTAGTCTAATGTACACTCGCCTGGATCTCAGGTTTAACCTCTCAACCCCGTTGTCTTACAGCTTATAGCTAAGGAGCATTTTTGCTTATGGCTGCCCTTGACCCTTAACTATCTTTAATTTCTTAATTTTACTTTTAAAGCATGCGCCATCAATGATTTAGGGGCACTAAGACTTTAGCCCTACCAAAGAAAATGTCATGTTGCTACTCACTTCGTCCTCTGCTGGGGACTCGGATCTACCTTTCCTTACAGCCTCTGTTATTTCCCTTAAGAAAAAACGCGCCTGAGACCGTCGAGCGCAGCAGACATTTGGTAACAAACAGAATAAACATATAAGCGAGCTTGAAAAGCAAGTACAGAAGCTTAAAATTACTTTTGCAATAACCTTCGGTGTGAGAACCAAATCCTACGGTCTCGGCAAGATGCCGTCTCTACACAGTTGTAAAAAAGATAGAATAACATTAAGGAAGAAGATTGAAAGAAAATGGACCACAGGTGTAAACAACCAGGCTGTGTAATGGCGACTCCTCGAAGATCTCGAAGATGGGCTCTCCTCTGCTCGTAAGGAAACAATTAAGAGTTACGCAACGAGGTGGCCGAGGCTTTCAACCAACACACAGTTACATTCGTGAGAAATAAGCTAAACAGAAAACTTTTTATCAATTCTATTTCTTATCTAACTACCCTAGCTCAGGGGCCGAAAAGCGCTTCAGTTGTCGGGGCCCACCATGTACATACATATATATACCTTATGCACCCCAATCTTCTCGCCATCGGTAATATTCTGTTAAAGGTAGCCCAACAAGTTGCGAGAGCCTCCTACCTATTGGAGCCAAGTTATTACATGTGCCCATATGCTCATTTGGAACTTGGAGTTACTGCTGTTGGTTGGGCATCTTAGAATTTCTTGGCCTGCGCCACCACGCCCCAGGCAATTTGCAAAGATTCGCGGAACAGTGCCTAGAAGCGGCTAGCACTGGCAGCTGATAGGGCCTCAGGGGGCGTGCTAGGGAGATCTGCCACCTTCCAGCTTGACGTGCCACTAGGAGCAACCCAAAATATGAGCTTTAGGGCATTTTTAGAGTGAATGTATGCATGTACATGGATGCCTGATTTTTGTTGTGGCGACTTGAAGATATCCATTGGTCCTTTTAATGGTTGGTTGCATGTGATGTCGGGTTAAAAAAGCGGGTTCGACTCGTCCAGGCCCGGGTTCACGCCGCTTCCGTACTCCGCACAAACCAACATGCACTCCATTTACTCCATTTATAGTAATCATCGTCCTGACTCCCTGAAAACAATTTCCTCCTCCGGACATCGCGCAGCACACAGCCAACCTCACCGGACCGATTGCTTCCTTTGATTAGACTAGAGTTCGCGGTAATTTTTGCCATTATCCACAATCTATTGGTTTTGATGTTGAACACATACTTAATAGCCAGCTTACTTATGGGACTACTTGCATATGTGGAATACTAGTCAACCGTCAATGACAATGGCCACCACGTTTCATTCCTTCTCACGCCTCCCCTTTGATATTCGCAGCCAAATCTAGGCCTTAGCAGCGTACCCACGTCTCATCCACGTCCGCACAACGCCCAAGCCAGACCGTTTTGAGGGCCACCGTTTTGCAGGCTCGGACCGTTATTTTGCCTCTATGATTCCACAAGCGGAACTCATGCATGTCTGCCGGGAGTCTCGTCAACTCGCCCCATATCAGAAAGCCTTCTTCACTACCTTACCTGGCGACTCCGAGACTCGGTATATTTGGGTTAACTTTAACGAGGACATGATCTGCCTCGAACACCACCATCTGTCCGCCCTTGACCCGCATGCGGACGATATTCAGCGGCTTAGGTTCACCGTACCAACGGGGAGAGAATTTGAATACTGGGCCGAATCATTTACTAGATTTTCGAGGTCTAAGTTCACGAAGTTTACCGCTCTGCGGGAAGTGTACTTGGCCATATCGCATGACATGCATTTCTGGGGGGCAACCGCTGGCTCGTATGGCATTTGTCCTATCGAGAATGTTAGGTTTCTTGACATTCAGACGGGGCTTATGTTGACTAAACCTCAGATTCAGTTAGCAGAGGAATGGGAAAGCCAGAAGGGGTGGCTAGTACAGAATATGGATGACATTGACGAAGAGTTGTGGTCATTTAGTGATTATCCTTTTATTGAGCTTTGCTCAGAGGTAGAATAAGTTAACTGTATGATACAATAACTAAGCTAGCTCAAATGATGGAGAGATTTTTATATGGCGAAGTATAAATTTAAAACAATTCAATACTAACGTTTTCAAACCGCCAACTACGTAGATCTTTCTCGTCTCCTGTCCTGATCTTATTCTTTTGCTGGTGGTTTTAGGAGACATCCTGCAGCTTTGTTGTGCGCATTCGCAAAAGCCTATATGACTGTTCTGTGATTGTTCGCGTCTCTTTGGTCGTCACTTGGATCAGAACCATCAGCTGGGGGTCCATAGAAATCTTTCTTCGCTTCCTTCATCAAATCTTCTAGCTGTTCTTTGGTGCCTTTTCCTGCTTTCACGGCCTCATCTACTGTTGCTTCCCAGTTAACAGTCTTCCAATTCTTTGTACTATCAACCGGATTAACGGGCGGATCGAGGATCTCTATTTTCACATCGATGCCACGGGGTTTATTTATTATTATTATTATTTTTTATTTTATTTTTAATTTTTTTTTTTTTTTAAATATTAATTATTTCTCAAGTTATATAAGGCTTTTATATATATTAAACTATACCTTTTTAATTTTTTACTTTAGTATATATATAAGCTAGAAATTTATTAAGCTGTAGGCACAGCTTAATGCAGAATAATAGGATAGGACTTAATTTATTTATGGAGCTTACTGAGGCATAGTGTAATATCCTAATCCCTATTCTTAATATAGGGTAAAAGTTCCTAAGGTAATAAGCCTAGGTCGTAGGTTTATATTGGTAGAGAGGACAGAGAGTAGCTTTTAAGCAGTTGTAATTATAAATATATAAAAGTAAAATAAAAAGGGTAGTTTATATTTAATTTTAATATTTTATTAATAACTAACTATTTAAATTATTTAAATAAATATAATAAAATAAACTTATATATTTAGTTATTTTTTTTAATTTATATTATAATATTTTTTTATATTAAGTAAGTTTATAATTTTAATATTATAGTTTACTTTTTAAATTATATATATTAAAATAAACTTAAAATCTTTAATTTTAATTAATTATTTTTTCTGTTTTTTATTTAAAAAATATATATTTTTAATTAAGTTATAATATAATATTTTTTTTATTAATTTTATTTTTAAAGTTTATATATATAATATATTAAGCTTTTATATTAATATTTTATATATTAATTTTATAATATAATATTTAACTATTAAAAAAAATATACAAATATTAAAAAATATTAAATAAAATAAAAACTATTATAGTAATAATAATAAATAATATTATTAATTTAATAAATAAATAAAAAGTTTATATAGTTAATTAAATTATAAAAGTAATATAAGTAAATTAATATTTATAAAAAGTAAATACTTTATAAAAGTATTTATTTTTTAAATAAATTAAATAAAATAAAATAAGTTAAATTAAAAGTAATTATTAATATATAATCCTTTAATAAGGTTAATATAATTAATTAAAATATAATTTTTAATAATATAATTTAAAGTTTTAATAAAACTATTTTATTAATTTTTAAAAATTAAAGCTTTTAATAGGTTTTTAAGTATTATAAATAAGTTTATAATTTTTTTATTAAATTAAATATTTAATTTTATTATTATATTTTAAGTTTTAATATATAATAAATACTTTTTTTATATTTTAATTTTTTTTTTTTTAAATATTATAATTTTATTTAAAATTAGTTTTTTTTATTTTTTTATTAATTTATATTTTTTTTAATAATAATATATAAAATATTAAGTATTTTAGTTTTATATTTTTAAATATTTTAAATTTATAATTAACTTTTTTAATTTTCTTTAAAATCTTAAATAATTTAATTTTCTTAAAGTTTAATTTATTATTTAATTAGTTTATTTTAATATTTAATATTTTATAACTTTATAAATATTAAATTAAATAAACTATATTTTTTTTAAAAAGTTTAATTTTTTAATTTTATTTTAATTTATATAATATTTTATATAATCCTATATAAATTTAAATTAAATATATAATTTTTTATATAAATTAATTATAAATTCTACTTATATTTATATTTTATTAATGTTTAAATTTTTAAAAAAAAATTTATATATTAAAAATATATATTTATAAAATATATAAAATAATATTAATTTAATAAATTTAAATTTTATATTATTATAATAAAGCTAAGTAAAAGGCAATTTTTTAGCTTAATTATTTTATTTAAAATTAATATAATATTATAAATATTATTTAATAATTTAGTTTATTTTTTTTATTTATTTATTTATTTATAAATGGTAAATAATATTAAATTTATAATTAACTTTAAGTTTTATTATTAATTTTTATTAAAATTTAAAAGTAAATATTTATTTTTTATTTAAAATAATTTTTTTTAATAAATTATAATTAATTATTATTATTTTAATATAAATATATATAAAATCTTTTATATTATATAACTTTTTATATAGTAAAAAATATATTTACTTTATAAATTTATTTATTATTATAAAAATACTATTATAAATAACTTTTATAAAAGGTTTTTATAATAATAATAGGTTTATAATATAATTAAATATAATAACTTTCTAAAGTAACTTTAAAATTAATAAAAGTTATAGTATTTTATATAATTTATATTATTTATACTTTATTTATTAATATTTATTATATATTAATATAATATTAACTATTATTTTTTTTATTTTTTAAAATAAATAAATAATATATATTCATTAATTTATAATTATAATTCTTTAATATTTAAATTAAAGATATTTATAAATATATTTTATAATTTTCTTTTATAAGTTTAAGGGTATTTAATATTTAATTTTAATTATTAATTAATTATTTTTAAATATAATTTATAAAGGAAATT